AATATATGTATGTTATGTGTATACATATGCATACGTATAAAAACATATATGCATATGTACGCAACAAATACATAGTTTGACAAATTATATTGTACCTACACAATTACGCAAGTACACAGCATGCTCATATGTTCATCTTTGTATGACAATTTTAAGATTCTATTTTTATCCTATAGAATCGAAATTAAAGAGATTTTATTGTATGTAGATACGATAGTATATAATCACCACTAGAATGATATTAATCATTGTATTTCTTATTAAAATAATTGAAAAAAAAACACGACACATCCTTCGATCAATAATAGTGTAGGCATTGCAGCAGCATTACATTATCGCAATATTAATAAAATCCGCTATTGAAGCTGTGTTAATGAATTAAATGCAAAGTGAGCAATTGATTGCTCGCTTTGCATTTAATTCATTAACAAGCGGGAATTGACAAGATTAATTTTTCCACAGATGGCAAAAAAGAAGGTACTGCATGCGTTACCATAAGTTAATGTGCTATAACATATACTTCCTGCCTTGTAAATAATTCATATAGTATGAGCAAATTTGTCTTAATAGTTTCATCAGAATTGTATGCTGTAATTGTGATTCTATGTGATTCTGTATGAAGAAAACACATATGTTTCTCTTTTTCTAATAAAATTTAATAATAATAAAAAGCCGCCCATTCTGTGCCTCTCTGCAAATCACTATTTGAGTGTTTTATTAGTACTATAATAATTTATCTTTAGAAATATAAAATATATTTACACGTATATTACATGACATAATTATAAAACATAATTATCTATTTGCATATCGTACGTGCATATAACGATGTTTAATAAACTTTTTTTGTCAATTTTCTACGCTTTTGCAAATTTAAGATAATTATTTCGAAAAAAAATCCGTATACGTTTTGCAGAAAATAAAATATATCTTCATTCTTCACAGAAATATATAATTGCGTATATAATAATTACATATATAATCTTATTAAAGAGCACTTACTTAATAACACCCTAATTAGTTATTATTCACTTCAATTAAAATTTCCTCAATTGATATTCGCGGGTCCGGTGTACCTACCGATATAACAAATTAAATTATCTTTGCTTATAAAGTTAACGTAATTGAACGTTTGTTCATTTTGAAAATCTGAAGAATAAAATTATATAACTTAAAATTATATACATGTATAATAAAATTGTGAAAAACGTTTATTATAAAAACAAAGATATCTAGAAATTCGGTGCGTAATGGAAAAAAACCAGGATTAATGGACTCGTATATATATTATATAATTAAGCTTAAGATTGTTCCATAAAATTTAAGGATGTTTAGTATCTATTTTAGAATTATTAGGAATTTAACATAAATTTTACAGATCGCTCTATTATTACATCTGAGTAATTATGTAAAAGAGCATTTGAACATAAATTCTCTTAATGATTAGGTTTTTTTCGATTGTTGTGTAAAATCGCATTTTATAATATTTATTTGTAAATTTAATGAGGAATATTAAAAATTGAATCAAAGAGCCTCCCGCAAGCTCCATGCAAAAAATGCCCGTTTTCGGTATCTCGATTTTTGAAACTCTTATTATGCGAAATAGTTACATATGATGACCCAATAATCCCTGCAAAATTTCAAGACGAGCATACAGCCCGTTTAGGAAATAGGGGGGAGGGAGGGTTAAAGTTGACCATGTCCAATAAAAAAATTTAGCAATTCCACATTTGAATTCGAACAATAACGTCTAAAAAATTCAGCCTAAATGGATCTTTTAAGATTTTTGACTGATGATTATAAATATGAAGTCATATTTACAAAATTCAAAATGGCGGATCCAATATGGCGGACAATTTTTGTTAAAATTCATTGAATCTACTTGAAACTTGTTACTCGGGGTTTTTTGGGGTCGCTGATTACGAATTTGAAGTCAATTTAAAAAAATTACAAATGGCGAATCCAATACATCCAATAAAGGCGCAAGATGTAATAAACAATCCACCCAACAAAAAGTCAAGATGTAATAATGCAGCCAATAAAGGTAAGATGTACGAATCTATACAATAAACGCAAGATATAAAAATACAACTAATAAAGACAAGATGCAATAATCCAACAAAACGATTTGAAAGGTGTCAAAATTTTTTTCTAATTTTAAGTAATTAATTAATAATATTCTCATTAATAAAATAATAGTTCTGAATTTTAAGGCAACTTTGTTTTAAGGCATTTTGTTTTTATTGGTTGGATTATTACATCTTGCCTCTATTGGATGTATTGTATTCGCCATTTGTAATTTTTTTAAATTGACTTCAAATTCGTAATCAGCGACCCCAAAAACCCCCGAGTAACAAGTTTCGAGTAGATCCAAAGAATTTTAACAAAAATTGTCCGCCATATTGGATCCGCCATTTTGAATTTTGTAAATATGATTTCATATTTATAATCAACAGCCAAAAATCTTAAAAGATCCATTTAGGCTGAATTTTTTAGACGTTATTGTTCGAATTCAAATGTGGAATTGCTATATTTTTTTATTGGACATGGTCAACTTTAACCCCCCCCCTATTTCCTAAACGGGCTGTATGCTCATCTTGAAATTTTGCAGGGATTATTGGGTCATCATATGTAACTATTTGGCATAATAAAAGTTTCAAAAATCGAGGTACCGAAAACGGGCATTTTTTGCGGAGGCTCTTTTATTTTTTACTTAATGAAACAATACCTAATAAATATTCGTACGAAAATTTATTTTGGATCCATTTACTCATTACAAAGTTATTATCCTAAAATTGTAACAAAATATGCTCATTTTATTACAATCCATAAAATCATTGTAAACTAAATTATTTTTCATTTAATTTTTGTAATTAATTTCAAAACGTATTCACGGACTAATATTATTAAAATTGTTTTAATTATATCAGCTAATATTAGCTATTTTTGACTGATACTTTTATAACTGACGTTGTACAAATAAAACACTTCTTAATCGAATCCGAAACCTTTCGATATACAAAACACCTAATAACGATTTATTATATAATTGCCTATTTACATTTATACGCGCAATCTCGCGATAATAAGTAGCCATTCATAATATTTATCGGTAGAATAATTAATATTGTATTGTATAATGCAGTCTCTCGGAAAGTCTACTCCCAGATAAATATCAATTCTTTAACACCTGCAGAATTTACAGTGATTCGTTATATATATTTGATTCACGATAGTCTTCCAAATTAAGCCACGTATCGTGAATTAAACTCGACGAATCACACGTTCGTACGTAAAGATAAGATAGATTGTAATTTGTTACCCACGCGAAGCACCATAAGGCAAACAATGAATATAACGACTTTATGTGCAAAGGAATTTGGAATTTCACATCACATTGTATACTGGAATAATTTACACATATTAACACTGTTTTACTCATATATTATAAAGTTAGCAACGCACAATTCGTTTTCTTGGACTGATCTATCGATGCAATGATCACTTTATCACTTTTATGGCGGTTTGTGTAGAAGCTATAGTAATTCTCGCATTTTTATTGTCGATATTTAATTGACAATCGCGGATAAGCTTGTGAAAGTACATACAGTTGGTTATCATTGGTTTTGTTTACAGATTGTGAATCGTGATAGTATCTACAGGACGATGTATAGAACATATAGATATGACGCTATGCCGATTTTAGCATTATTCTTGCGATGACACTCGGGAAAGGTGAATCCATAAAGAGGGAACTTGATGATGGTGCAATTCCGAGCGGAAAGACACGGGCAAAAATAAAACGTACGTAAGATGTGATCTGATGAATGTGACTTTATTATTAATTTAATTTCTAGGTCCCATTTGCAATAGACAAAAAGAACGACAATTTTGATAAAACATCTAAAAAGTTAATTGCAGATATAGATCCATTTTGTTGAACTGTCAAAATAATTATGTAAGAAACTGAAGTATGTATGTACATATAATGAGCAATGTTGTAAACAAGATTGACATTCTAATAACCAGTTTGACCGTCTCACGTAATTATTTTGACAGTCCAGTAAAATTATATTATCAGATCTGTATTTAAATATATATATATATATATATATATATATATATACTTCAATAAAATAGTTCTTTTTGTGTATTATTATAATCTAAAAAAGTTTTGAGCTTCACATCAATATACCAATTTTTTTGCAATCATTCTTCATTAGCAATAACGATTAAGCTTCATTCTCTTTATTAAAAAGAATTCCGTGATTTTGAAGCAAACATCGCTTTGGTGAACCAAGCAGCAATCAAACCAGTGTGCACCATTAATTTCTAGACAGAATACCTATTTTAAATTTTGACACAGCACTTGAATAATTTACATATAAACGTGTGTTTTGTGCTCATATTATTGGAGAGCCATTAGCAATTTGTTATTCTAACAGATCGATTTACGAGTTTTTGCTGTAGCAAAAATTATGTCTGACAAAAGCGTATCCAATCTACAATACATCAAATAGACAAAGAGGAAAGGTGCATTAAGGTATACAAATGCGCGATAATGACTAAATTTCTTCTGCGAATTGTGGAGGACCTCGACTGGACTGTTGATTATTATTATTTATGTATAATAAATATATGTGCTAACCAACTTAGTGAAATGATCTGTGCAAATTTTATGGACTAAACGAATATTTTTTTCTCTATCTGGCAGACTACTTGAATTGTAAGCGATTAAAAAGAAACGCCATAAAATTGTCCTAATGAACGCAGGAGAATATTCACGTGTATTATCGCGCGAGTGTGAGTATGGGAAATGACTTTTCTTATTTTGATCCGCGGAAAAATTGTATAAGTTTTTCCAGCGGAACCTGTATCGCCCCACCGAGTAACACGCGGCGACCGTCGCGACGTCGTCGTCGTCTTCTTTGCACTTCTTGCCGACTGTATTTATGTAGGAAATCGGCCAGTTAAAACAAGTTAAAAGGTTGTCGCGCTCCATCATACTACATGTGCAGCTGAAGACGAATACTTAAAGAACATCCTTCTCAGGGTGCACACACAACGGCTGCAGAGAGCGAAGAATAAGAATTATCGGTGGTGGTTTGACATCATCGAAAATTCAATTTACTGCGTTCCAAATCCAATTTACTGCGTTCCACTGTGTATCTAACATTCTTTTTCCACAAACGTTTCACGAGAGAAAAAATCGTCCGACGCCGATAAACAAAGTCGATATTCTAATGACACCTAAAGGCAAGTTATCGCCAAATGCTCTATCGTAATATTTTTGCAAATTTCAAAAATTTTTTAATTCAAACATTTTTAAACATAATGAATCAAATCACGGAATAAAGGAAAGGAGATCAAACTCGAGGATGAAAAGTGGGCTTGAAATAGGGATTGAAAAACACATGTCAGGATACAAAATCAGGACGATGCGATTTTAATGCCATTGCGGGAAAAGTTGGAAGTGTATACCACATGATAAGGCATACGGAATACACTTGTATGCACGTTTTATTTTTAATGCAGAAATTTCAATTTTTAATCAAATATAAAATGTCATTATTTTGGAACATTTTAACGTAAAATTGATATGTATAAAATTATCATCATCAACTATCAATTTTTTATAATCGTATAAACTTTTATGCGTAGAATAATGGAATAAATCAATATGTATAAAGAAAGTATAATAATTGCTTAAAAAGAATATGTAGTTTCATGTTGTAAAATGCAATCTAATTATTCTTCATATAAAACATACGTATTAAGATAGAGATATCAAAAAGTGATTTTTTTCGAATTATTTTATATCAGCTTATTCTGCCATAAGTATTGATATAAAATATAAAATACTTTGTAAACTATATATTAATTTTTTGATAATCGTATTTTAATACTTTTACGCATGTTCCGAAATGTTTTCTTCTCATTAATTTCTTTACATTAATTTTTTACATCTCATGTTACTTTTAGTTTGTCGACTGGACGGAATTCTATATCTTCTTAATTCTTCACAAATAAAACACTTTTCATTGGAAAAAAACTTGTGAAATAAAAATTTTATATATTCTCATTTTAGTGCAATATCTCTTAAAATTTAAAAAAAAATAAAATTAATTAAACAGGCCTCATTTGTAATTAGCTCAGGTACTTATTATCAATTAAATTATTACAGTTTATATACAGTTAATTGTAGTTAATTATTATTTATTATTAAGATAAATCTCTAAAAGTTAATAATTTTATTACGTTTTATTTTTTGGAAAAAGCATAATTAAGAAAGTTTGAAGAGCGTTAGTGTCTCTCATCAATTAATTTTGTTAATCAGTTACTAAAAATTTCTCTGACAATGAGTTCAACAATATTTGTAAATATATATATATTGGACAATTCTTCTGTAGATATTCTCGTGTTTTGACTTTGATATTTTGAGCGGCTTATTAGGACGAATGCTGTCAATAAATCGTTAGTCAAACTCGATCCGTCTCGCGGTATTCGTGTTGATCGACATTACGTTCCCGATTATGCATATTCTTTAACTTCAAAATAATGGCATCGCGATTAAGAATAATACGTTATTAAGAATTATCGTGTAAATTGGAAATACATTTAACAAACTGCATTAGTATAATATTTTATACTAAACTTGTGTGTGTGTGTAACGCTTCTTGAGAAGCAAGTTTTACGTAATTAATATAAGTCACGCAAAACTATTATCACATATAATTATTTTAACTTGCATTGCGAATATATTTCCACGTATTAGTGAAGGCAACTTGTGTAACAGTTTGTATCTGCATGTAACAACTTCTTTACATAGAAATTCAAATATATCAACAAGTTATTTTCTATAGTAATAATCTAGTGTAAAGAAAATTGTGGTCTGACGTATATTCTATGAGAAATTTATTATAGTCATTGTATAATAACGTTTTTACAAATTATATTTATTTTAATTTAATTAAATGTCTAGTGACAGCGTATTTGTAATAAATGAAAAAAAAAAAAACAATATAATTATACAGTAATGTTCGATACTGTGTGTAATTATCGTTACACACAGTATCGAAAACTACATCCGCGGAGATAGCTTCTGTTTTGAGTACAACATTAACGTTTTCATTAACTGAGGCATTCATTTGTCGTGGCAATATTGACTGTTTTTCACAATAAACTCTCATACAACGAATGTTGATCATATGTGCGTAACAAGTCGCAAATGTGTTTGAGTTTAACGATCGTTGGCAAGAAAAATGGTTTTTGGACGCTTTATTAATTTATTTACTATGTATAAATCGTATAGATACAGACGTATGCGTCGTATATCAGGTGACAATTCAATTTTAATTATATAAATCTAAATCAAACATATCGAAGTTTATTTATCATAATTACTGTTTCTGCTTCTAGGTGAGGAAATAAAGTCTGAGATTTCAAGTCCCGCAGACTTCGAACGAGCAATTATAGCAACAGGTGAGCAAATTACGTAATATTACGGGAGTTGCCAAATGTGTAATAATAAAGTTATTCTCTAAATTTTCATTTTTTATAAAATATTTTATTGTATTGGAATACAAATTAGTTCGGTCCGTTTTTTTGTGTTCAAAAATGAATTTATTTCAAAACAAAATGAATGAACAGATTAATTAAAGTATTGTCCATCGCTGGCTACTACTTTTTCCCATCTCTCAGGCAATTTTCGAATTCCATCTCGAAAAAATGACTCGTCTTTGGAGGCGATCCAATTTTGGAGCCAATTTTCGAGCCAATTTTCGATTTCTGCGAAAGAAGTGAACCGGTGACTTGCTAAATCGTGCTGCATCCTTCGAAACAACCAGTAATCAGAAGGAGCAATGTCCGGAGAATACGACGGGTGCAGTAAAACATCCCATTTGAACGTTTCTAAATATTTTTTTACGACTTTTGCGAGGCCGAGCGTTGTCATGAAGAAAAATAATAATAATAATAAGGCACCCAATTTCCTTGTTTTTTAATCATTCCCATGGCTCTCAATCGTACAGAAACGGCTTGTTGAGTTACTCCCAATGATTCTGCAAGCTCCTCTTGCATTTGACTCTGATCTTCTTCGAGTAATGCCCCTAATTCTTTGTCTTTGAATTTTTTTGGCTGTCCAGAGCGAAGCTTATCTTCAATCTCCATCCTTGAAACATCGAAACCATTCCCTACATGATTTATCAGTTGGAGCAGTGTCACCATAAACTTCGACAAGCATTCGATGGGCTTCAGCTGCACTTTTCTTCCAATTAAAGCAGAAAATTAAAACCTCCCGCAAATGTTGCTTGGTTAACACAAAATTCGACATTTCAAACATAGTAAAACTCAAGGTTTTTGTATGAAACTCAAAGTGATATAAACTGAATATTATTAGCAGGTGTCTAACCTCTCTGAAACCGCCAAAATCAGCTGTCACTATGAATCATTCACAACAGCCGGAGCTATCTTTTGGAAAACGGACCGAACTAATTTGTACTCCTAATAAAATATTTGACATTTATTGTATATAATAAAAAGTAACTTAATTTATATGATTACACTATTATCAGCTGCACATAAGCAATAAAACTTAATATCAATTGTACATAATATTTATTTTGTAAAACGCCAATTAGCACATAACAAGATGTATTCTGTCAAATTTTTTTATCTATATACTTATTACTCATATCTTATTTATTTCATATTTTTGCAGCATCAAATGCTGCTTATTAAGAGTAAACATATAAAATATTGCACAATTTATATCATATACATTTAACATATATATTTTCTCTACATATAATTTATAAGTTTTGCTATTAATCTTTATTTAATACATTTATTGTCATGCAGTATAGCTCTTTTTAATATTCTCTTATTCTATTTTATCTTCAAAAAGAAAAAATTATTGATACGTAGGTACTTTGATTTTTTAATAAATAATGTATTTGTAATAAGTATAAACATCGAAAAATTTGATTAAACTTCAGTTAATATGTACACACATGTGATTGGTTAAAAAAAATATTAGATAATTATACATTTTTTATAACATCATAGAGTCTTCCGTTTCAACATGGAAGCCCGCGGAGTTCATTGGCACAATTTTCATAGTTTTGATACTCGATTGTTCAAACCATCGACATATAACATGGACTACGCACAGGCTGAAAGAATATGACCGGCCCGAAAGAAAGAGATAGCGATCGGTGTAGTCAAGCTCTGTCTCTTTCTAACGTAGTATTAAAGAGAGCGAGCGATTGACATACACCGCGTTTTCTCTTTTTCTAATTCGCCGGACACTTTTTATGTATGGATTGCGCAGTCCATACTATATGTCGATGGTTCAAACTAATTATTATGATTAAACTGTATATATTAAAGAAAAACTTTTTCTGTATTTTTACGTCAGGAATAATCTTGTATAAATATGTACTGCATATTTTTTTTAGTAAGTAATAAATACGAGAATACGCTTTTATTGTAATCAAGGAAAGAAAGTGAGGGTATTTTTTTCAGAGAGACGCGCTGCTAAAGTGTCTGCGAGTTATCGTCATGTCTTATTTCGTAAACCTTGCCGTTCACTTTATTAGGGCAAAGAGTATACAATGATACAATATCAATGCGCTCCTCGCCTGGAATGAATACCAAGGTTCACAAAACATTAGCATTAGCAATAAATGACAACACATGATAATTTGTTTACGATAGCTTTAATGTGCTCTAGTGCGCACTAATTATAAGTGCATCCAATCGAATTCATGCTGAGTTTGTTTATACATATATATAAGTCAACATAATATATTCTGTCTTATACTTTATTATTTCATTATAAAAAGTTACTGTTATTAATTAAAATAATAGGTTATTAATTAAAATAATGTAGGGTATAGTGACGGAAAAATTTTTCTTAATTAATTTTTCTAAATTAAATTATTCTCTCAAGCAGTGCGACATTTTGAAGTACTTGAAAATTTACTTGTCTATTGTTAAATCAAGTATTCTCTTTTTTATTGTAATACTACCTTATTAAACTTAAGGAAAAGTACTTACATTATAAGAGAAATATTTTACGGTAACTTTTCCATCTTTTTTTCATTATATAAATAGGTAAGATAAACTAAACATGATATCAACTTATCTTTTGTCCGATTTTCTCTATTATAGCGATGATTATTTATAACTCTTAAGATGTCAAACGTGTTATTTATGAACATTTGTCACAATGAAAATAAGAATAATTTAATCAATACGTTAAAATATTTTTTCCTATTTGCCAGGATATGGAAAATTTAATTATTTGCTATTACTGGCGGTGCTACCGGCTAGTTTCTCCAGTATCTTTTCATCGTCAGCAATGTCCTACGTGTTACCATCAGCCGAATGTGATCTTCAATTAACGATGTTCGACAAGGGGCTGTTGAATTCGATGGCATTTGCAGGTATAGCATTTTGAACCGTTTAACAATTGCATAACAACGCTTTATTACAGATGCCAGGAAGCTCAATGAGAGCCCTGGAAACCTAGAGCTTGGCGTACTTAAAGTCCGTATGTACAATTATTGTGCGGTGTACACTGCCGGTTCATTCGTAGACAATAACGTGAAGGCAAAACACGTAAACTCACGGTAAATACCGTACCATTTTATTTCTTGTCGCATGCAAATTCTGAGCAACTTTAATTTTCGACCCTGTTTTCCGCGTTTTTGATCCATGACCAATTATTATCAGGCCGATTGATGTGCCTCTACAAAGGTCTCAAAATACAGCCATCATGGTGTTCTCCTCGCAATCAACAACGATTTATGATTGAACCAATTGTTAACATTTGCAATCTGTCATGGCTGTTTGTCTTTCAAATTTAAAATTAATAAGATAAAAGTGTATTACACACACGCGCGCGCGCGTGCACATTTACAAATTACGTTTGAAAAGATTGGTAAAAAATTTTGCCTACATGAATATACATATAAATAAATATAAACATGTATAATTATATATGAAATACATCCATACGTGTTAACATATTCTTTCTTTTTTAAATTATCCTATAGTGTAATAAAAATAATAATACGCTCTCGCCTCGTCTTGATAAGTTCAACTTATCAAGCAACTTGTGACGCCTCAACAGTAAGTTCAGTTCATGGAACGTTGACATTAGTTCGGATCACCACACGATAATAATCTACAAATTTTTTGGCACCTCTGAAGAAAATGCATGAAAGCCTTAAAAGTATCGTCAAAAATAATAATTATTATTATGAGAAAACATAAAAAAATAATTAGATATTTTTCGCATTGTTTGTTTTAGAAAAAATCAAGTTTAGAGAAATGTAAAAAGAATTGCACATAATTACTATGTGTATATATAATTTTACATACAATCGTATATGAGTTATTTATATAATACTTTTCTAACTTAATTTTTTTTAAAACAAACAATGCAAAAATTATTCCTATAGTTATTTTTTATCTTTTCTCATTATATTATTGTTATTGTTAACACCAAAAATAATTTTACAAAAAAAAGAATACATGGATATATACGGATATATTTCTTTATATATAATTATATACGTTTATAAAAATATTTATACATGGTTATGTATTTTATACATATTTATACATATATTCATACATGGAAAATTTTTTACCGGGAAATAAGTGGTTATATGTGTATGTATTATGTTTTTACATGTTCTCAAAAAAATTGTATATCTTCTTATTTATCAACAACAAAGATTTAGTAAACTAGATATTCCATAGCAAAAATACAGAAAAAACAGTGAGAAAGACAGTATATTTAAATATTTAAATCTTAGTTTTTAAAGGTACAAAAAATATATAAAATATTTTAAACATTAATTTAGTATTATGCTCTCAAAAAATGATTAGAACTCTTTTAGAAAAGGCTTAGAAAAACACCATTTATATTTGCGTTACATATGTAAATTTCCATCTTGTTTTTCGAATCTAATTGGAATGGATTTTTTTGCAAAACAAAATATTTTTCTTCTATAATTTTAGCCAAAATCAGTTCTTAACTAGGAGGCCATTGCAAGTACATATCCATCAAATAATCTAGCATTGATTTTGTAAATTTATAGCACGTCGCAAATGCAGGAACAATGTTTATATAAATTTACTTCAAAATGTAAACGTTTTATTTTAGTTACATTTTACTTATTTCTTGTTCTTAGTTTAATGTGAAATTTCTAATAGAGAATTCATATGAAAGCAGAATCGGCTGATCAGTTGATTTGTTTTCAGGAATGATTATTACGGCATTCTTCTGGGGTTGTGTTACTGACATGTTCGGTCGTAAGAAAATAATGTTCTACGGTTACCTGCTTACTGGTCTACTAAGTGTGGCGACGTGTTTTTCACATAGATCTTGGCATTTAATAACGTTCAAATTTTTTGACGGTATGATGTAAGTTGAAATTAACAGTCGGTGTAATATATAATATTACAATTTACATACTCTAATTATCACTGCGTTGATGGAAAAATGGGTAAATGTTAAGAAGACCCTTTCCACCTCAAATTTTGATAAAAGTACACTCATTCGACGCGTTTTTGCAGGAAACGAACGAATCTGGCAATAAAAGTACACTCTGCCCTCCGAACCGAGATATTAAGCGTTAAAGTTGACGACTGTTGAGGTTAGGAAATCTGTCACAGTCGCGAAATATGGCGATGCAAGCATACCAAGACTAGAACCAGAACAGTCAACTCGGTCAAATATCGGTAGAGGGAGTAGGCCAAAAAGTGACGGCGGATAACTTCCCCCACTTTTGCGCTTCATTATTCCTCTCTGTCGCTCTGATAGTCGTTTTCAATTCGTGACTGCGCATGTCAAACAAACCTTGTTTCTGTTTGATTGAATTAAAAAAGATAAAAAAGATAAAACGTGCCAAAAATTTATCATATGTGACTTACGATGACCGAGCGAGTGTGCTGTGTTCGAAATTGTTTCAATCCTTAAGAAAAAGAAAATCGAAAAGGTTTAAGAACAAGAATTTCTTGGTTATAACCGATGCGCGCATGCGCAAACTTTCACACAATATGCAATGCCACTGCGCATTGTGTGAATAACCGCGGACGTTTTTTGACCTACCCCCACCACGCTAGTTGACTCTCCTGGGTATCGATCATGAAACTTTTTCCCTAGGATGAAAAGTGAAAATTTTTACCATTGAAATTAATGGAGAAATTTTTCACTTTTCACTTTTCATCCTAGAAAAAAAGTTTCATGATCGATACCTTGGTTCTAGTCTTCTTGAAGCATACATTTAGATTATATTTTCATGCTATTGCGCATGCGTTTCACTATTCCGTATGTACAATAGAGTACACGAAATTTAAAATCAATTTAAAAACTGATTCGGTTCGGAGGGCAGAGCGACACTTTTTATTGCCAGATTCGTTCGTTTCGTGCAAAAACGCGTCGAATGAGTGTACTTTTATTAAAATTTGAGGTGGACGGGGTCTTCTTAACATTTACCGAAAAATGATACAAGTAAAACAATTAAGATTTTTGAGATAATATAAAAAAAATTGATCTCTTAAGGGAATTCTAAAGCATCGGGAGTGACCAACAATTACAGTGAATCATTTTCTCCGAATTGGCTTTATAGATCATTATAATTTTTTCACACGATGAAAGTACACATAAAAATGAATGGGTAACGCTAATGGGCCTTCTACAATAAGCCATAAGTCACAAATCATAAGTCATAGGCTAGAAATGGACCAATCATGGTCGTCAATTTTTAGTTTCTTACTTCCGATTTATGACTTATGGCTTATTGTAGAAGGCCCATAAATTTGATTAAAAAATTGAAGAAAGAAATAAAAAATTCACTTATTTCAGCTCTTACAGCTGTCACTTGAGGTTATAATTTACTAGCTTATTGTAGAAATTCTGTAGGTCGTACATACCAAATGATACCCTCGAGCAAAGCGTATGACGTGCACAAATAAAAATCCTAAGCTTGCGAAATTGTCATCTAAGGTCTAACAAAAAAGATAATCCAAAATATTTGTTTCACGTGTAATCGTTTCGCTGGCACAGATAAACAGCATGAGAATTGTGTATCAAGTATGGTACAGCCGGTACAGGGCATGGTCGAAGTACTTCGACCATGGTACAGGGTACAATATGTATTGCGGTAGATGGCGTAGGAACTTGAGAGAGGAAAGTAACAGGAGAAAGAGAGATAAACATAAGTTCTATCCTTTTTTTCTCTTAAGGTGATGCTGGACTCGCCTGTATTATCCACGAAACAAGCGTTTTTGACGTTTTCGTTCCTGTCGAACCTCTTCACAGTAGTTTCACAAAATAAAAATTCCTTCTCCACGATTAAAATATCTGAGCTAATGTATCTGCCCCTGGGTATCGATTATGTAACTTTTTCTCTAGGGCGAAAACGTGAAAAGTGAAAATTTTTTGCATGTGTGTATGTATGTTCATACAATACATTCGTAACAATTTTCACTTTTCACGTTTCCGCTCTAGATAAAAAGTTACATGATTGATATCCTGGTGTATATTGTGTCCAAAGCTGGAAAAAGTATGAAATTACAGATTTCTTTATCCATTTTTATCTTCAGCGTTGGTCGCCATATTGAGGTTAAATGGATAAAGAAATCTATGATTTCATACTTTTTCCAGCTTTGGACACAAAAGACACCAGGGGCACGTATATTAGCTCGGATATTTTAATCGTAGAGAAGGAATTTTTATTCCGTGAAACTACTGCGAAGAGGTTCGACAGAAACAAAAACGCTTATTTTATCGATAATACAGGCGGGTCCAGCACATAGATATTTATATAACACTAGATCGCTAACTGGGCTCTAGTACATGATTCCTAAAAGTATGTACTAAACCCATGTCACGTGTCCGTGACGTTGGCGCATTACTAGCAGCCGACGCATCTGGAGACAATAAAATACGAGAATGATTGCGACTTACCTATGAAATATTACCACTTGCTTTTCTTTTCCACTTAAACGGCGGCAACTTTTAACACGATAATTGATAATGGCATTGTAAATTTTCCAAAATCACGCACAAACGAACGTTACACGTACGTATATCGCCCATGTGGCCTTACCGCGGCCATTACACAATAGTATATACCACGTGACCGTTTCATTCCGACGTCACGCTTCGAAATACATAAATTTTGGAATCAATTTTTATGCACGGTATATAGGGAAGTTAGCGATCTAGTGTTATATAAATATCTATGGTCCAGCATCACCTTAAGGTACTTTTCCATGCGCAGCACGCTGCAGCAGCAATTCGTTACTATTGGTTAAGAATTGTATGTAAGCTAGATGACGCACTTCCGGCGCAAAATACATTTTGCCGCAGTTCGTTGAAGTTGAACCGAACGAACAGCAAGCGGCAAAATCGAGAAAGCGTACAATATGTCCGTCGTTTCATTATGAAAATATTATTTATTGCAATAAATATTAGGAAAATAAACGAAGAATGGCTTCGGATAAGGTACGAATGTTTGTAAATTAGATCATTTTATACTTTACACTTTACTTTTTCAAATTTGTGATAAAGTATAAAATGATCTAATTTACGAACATGTATCCGTACCTTATCCGAAGCCATTTTTCGCTTATTTTCCTAATATTTATTGCAATAAATAATATTTTCATAATGAAACAACGGACATATTGTACGCTTTCTCGATTTTGCCGCTTGCTGTTTGCTGTTCGTTCGGTTCAACTTCAACGAATTGCGGCAAAATGTATTTTGCGCCGGAAGTGTGTCGTCTAGCTTACATAAAATTCTTAACCAATAGTAACGAAATTGCTGCTGCGCATGAAAAAGCACCTTTAAGTTGAGCGCGCAGCACCGTCTGACATAGATTTTTTAGCAGGATCATCAAAACTGTATTATCGACCTCGATCAAGTTCGGCTGTCGCTTTAGGATCCCATAAGTTGAGCGCGCAGCACCGTCCGACATAGACTGCGTTCCGTTTCTGGCATATACGCGCATTTTATATAGTGAGCGTCACGTATACTATAGGGGAATGCGCGCACATGCATGAAACGGAACGCAGCCATAGATTTTTTAGCAGGATCACTAAAACTGTATTATCGATCTCGATCAAGTTTGGCCGTCGCTTTAGGATCTCCTTAAAGACTAATATACATATTTTCATGAAAAAACGACACATTTATTATATAGCTTATTTATAGAAATAACAGGCTTGTATAATAAGATCTGATTTATAAGTCGAAACTAAATCGATATTAATTGATTTTTCAGATCGTTTGATTTGATATCGTTTATATTTTCTATTGATCTTTGAAGAAGATCGACGCATCGATAAAATGTCGATCTTCTTTTGAAGATCAATATCTAATAAGTATCAAATCAAACAGTCCTAAAGATCAATCGATTTGTGAGCCTGGGATAAAATTTGTCGGATAATTGTATACCGGATAATTTACTTCTACCAGATAACCGGATTTTATCCAGCAATTGCACAAAGAGAAAAATTGAAAATCTGGTTGTTTTGAAGATCTGAGTAGAAAAAAGAGGATTTTTTTAAAATACATATAAGCTATTATATAAATATACTATAAAAATTTAATAATTAATAATATTTAAGTACAAGGACTCTTAATATTAAAATGACAGTTGTGTAATAAAGGACTAATAAAAGTCAAATAAATAATTTATCAAAATTTCAAATAAAGTGATGAGCTACATACTAATTATAAATTTTAGTATTTTACTTAATAAGTCAACAAATTAACATTACATTACATAACACGCGCATAAATGGGTCGACATTACACCTTGGGCTGAGATAGTTGGAACTTGTATTGAAATCAATGACAACTTCAAATTAAGATATCGATTTATCGTTAGTTTTTTCCCAGGTGTATACCGGACCCTAATTTATGCGGGCGTTATGTAATGTCAATTTATTATCGTCGAATTATTAAGGGATGCTGGAGTGTCCCTGTTTTATCATTACTTAGTTAAAGACTCGTTTCTCTTAATTGCATTTACGGATGGAAAAATCCTTCTGCATAATTAAAGTATCGACAAAAACGGAGGGTGCTAGCTACATTTCAATACGAAAAACCGAAAAAAAATTTACAGTTTCGTTATCGGCTTCTGCAGTCGACTCGACACATTAGGCCTGTTCTTTTTACTGAACTGGTGCATAGAGTGCAATAAGTTGAAGTAAAACAGATATACGTTTGTTTCATTTCAACTTATTGCACTGTGTGCACTAGTTCAGACAGTGCAGACAAAAAGAACAGGCCTATTATGTGCTGCATATAAAAGTTTTTGACCTTGCACGTTCACAGGAAGTAGCTGGCGAACGTTAAAAAACCTGAGAGAACAATCCTATGCTTGCAGAAACGAGCTACAAGCTTTAGTATAATGGGCCTTCTACAATAAGCCATAAGTCATAAATCGGAAGTAAGAAACTTATGGGCCTTCTACAATAAGCCGTAAGTCACAAATCATAAGTCATAAGCTAGAATTGGACCAATCACAGTCGTCAATTTTTAGTTTCTTACTTCCGATTTATGGCTGCGGTCGAGTTGCCACTACGAATGCTTTAAAGCGTTTCTTGATTGGTCAATTTGTAAAACTCTTTCTTTTGATTGGTCAATCTAACGCTTCAAAGCATTCGTAGTGGCAACTCGACCGCAGCCATAGACTTATGGCTTATTGTAGAAGGCCCATAAGAGGAATGAGTATCCGCAAATTTCATTGATATGCTAACCTTTTTGTTACGGGTGACAAGTCGATCATTTCTATTGATCCCATACTTCATGATTGATCCAGTGATGCACTTTTCGTGACAGCGCCGCTATCGGAATATCGCGGAACTGTTATGCTGAGAAGCATTAAGCGGGGAGCACAGACTTTTGCATAACGCATAAACCATATACATAAAGAATTTGATTGGTCCATTGACTCATGCATAAGAAAATGGACCAATGAAATTCCTTATGCATTTGCTTTATGCGTTATGCAAAAGTCTGTGCTCCCCGCTTAAGACTGCAAAAGCCGATAACAAAACTGTAAATTTTTAATTTTTTTCCGTTTTTCGTATTGAAATGTAGCTAGCACCCTCCGTTTTTGTTGATACTTTAATTATGCAGAAGGATTTTTCCATCCGTAAATGCAATTAAGAGAAACGAGTCTTTAACTAAGTATATAATGATAAAACAGAACACTCCAGCATCTCCTTAAAGTAAAATTTATAATTAGTATTTATGTAGCTCACTTTATTTGAAATTTTGACAAATTATTTACTTGACTCTTATTAGTCCTTTATTACACAATTGTCATTTTAATAATTGTAATATCTATTAATTTTTTTAAATTAGATTTTTATTAGATTTTTCAATATTTATTGTTGATTTTTTAATGAAGTTAAATATTCAAAATAAACTTAATAATAAAGCCCTATTCTGTAAATTCTATTAAGATTTAACAATATTTGTATTAAATTTATTTAAAGTTAAATATTTTACAAGTCACTAGTAAAACTATAAATAGTATTTTGAAAAAGTATTGAGCAAATTAGAAAATAAAATTAAAATTAATAAATTAATTATCAATAAACTTTTTAGTATTAACAAAAGCAACGATGCATAAGAAACTGAAGATAAAGTTAATACGTTTTTAAATAGTGCTAATTAGATAAGCTGTCTTCTTTAAAAGTAATCTTATAATACAAAACTGTTAAAAATATCTGTAAATATTTCAACAAAATCACAAATCAAAGTCAGATAACGACATAAGCATAAAAAAGGGATGAAGTCTTTTACAAGAAAAAAATTTATCTTTTACAAGACAACCTGGTGATATAGAACAAAGAAAAAAGCAACTATATCATATTTACCGTAGAAATAGATGAATATCTTGCTTTATCTAAAAATTTTAAAAATGCTCTACTGAAAAGTTGCTAATTTTGAAATCTGTTACTTATTTATAAATGTAGCAATGTTTATACAATAATTAATTTGTAAAAGATTGAATATTTTGTGGATATTTTGTTATTAGATACGTAACAGTTAATTAACAAATTGTAGCATATCCGGTCCATATGCGGCACTTATGTCATATTTAGCGGAAATACACAACGAAGTACATCGATCAAGATCGTACATGTGGCTTGGCGTGTTCTTCTCGCTTGGAAACATTTCTTTGCCATGTAAGTACAGCCTTTACAGCCTTATCTACATACTTTCGACGGGAATTAAATTATGAAAATAAAATTATCAAATTTTATACCGGTAATGTATGTAATGTTGCAATATATGTATACAATATACATAATGCTGATGTTGTAAGAATTGAAAACAGAATTACAATTGATTTAGGAATTTGTAGTAAAAGTGTTATAAAAACATACAATATTTCATATTTTACTCAAGTACTCAATATACAAACATACATTTTTTGCGACAAATAAACTTGAATAAAGTTAAATATGATTAAATTAGGTCATAATAAGGATAAAAAATAAAGGACTTTTAATGTCAAAACAATAAAAATTAGAAAGCATGTAAAAGTCAATTATAAAAAAACATATAAAAGTTAAGATATAGAACATATTTTAATTCGTAAATTAGTTTTAAATAATATACATATATAACGCATCATTCAATAAGTCCCGGGCCTGACATAATAGATGGCGCACTAATAATAAATCCATATGAATTTTAGAAAGTACTAAATCTTCAAATATACGTGTCAAAATTTTAGCTCAATCGGACCTTTACTTTATAGTGGTTTAAGTGACGCTACTTTCGCATTTTTCAAAACAATGGAAAAATCTGAATTTCGTGTGTTGATAAAGCATTGCTTCCTGATGGGAAAAAATACCGTTCAAGCAAAGCAATATGGCTTGATAAGTGTTATTCGGACTCTACTCCGTCGGAAACAACAGTTAAGAGGTGTGGTATGCTGACTTTAAACGCGGTCGTAAAAACACAAATAATGCTGAACACTCTGGTCGTCCAAATTCGACAAAAGTACCGTCACTTAAACCATTGTAATTTGTAAAGGTCCGATTGAACTAAAATTTTGACACGTATGTTTGAAGATTTAGTACTTTCTAAAAATCATATGGATTTGTTATTAGTGCGCCATCTATTATGTCAGACGCGGGACTTATTGAGTGATGTGTTATATATGTAGTATATATGATATATGTATATTACGTTTTCGGCTTCAAGTTTGAGCCATTTAGATGATCAATTCCACGTATTGAGCTGTTAGAAAAATGATTGTAATAATATACAGATATATTAGATGAGGCCAGATGAGAATGTTTTATATAGAAATAAAATTTGCTCACAAACGGTTGACTGACCGATTGTTAGAAATATCTTTATGCAATAAATAACATTTATATAAATTGATTAAATTATTAATATCCCACAGTTATTGGAGCAAGCAAAACGTCATTTTGATAAAAAAACATTTACCGAAATGGCCATACAATTATGTTTAAATTGATAGATTCTCGTCAAAACAATTATAATAGTTAGTACAGATATGTAAGTCAAAAATTAAATATTTATGATCAATTTATGTTATTTACTGAAATATGGAGATATATTGTCAACAATTGGTCGGTCAATCATTTGCGAGCAAATTTTGTTTCTCTACAAAACATTGATCTTATCTCATCTCATACAATCTCTATAATTTTGCAATTATCTTTTTAACAACTCGATTGCGTGAAATTGAATATCTGAAGATGGCTTAAACTTAAAGTCGAAACATGTAATATATACATATTGTTTAAATTAAATTACGGATTAGAATAAATTTTATATTTAACTTTTATATATGTTTCTTACAATTCACTCTTATATGCACTTTCTAATTTTTATTCTTTAAAATATGATCTTTTTGAATTTCTTTATTCACAGGTATAGCATGGCTTATAATACCTCAAAAGTGGTACATCACATTTTTAAATGATACATTGGAGATAGCTTCCTGGAGAATGTTCTTAGTCATTTGTTCGCTGCCCGAATTTTTAGCATGCATAGCTCTTTTTGCTTTTCCAGAGAGTCCGCGTTTCCTTATTTTAAAAGGTCGACATGACGAGGCATTGAATGTCTTCAAAAAAATTTACTCACTCAATACTGGCAAGGATCCTAATACATATCCGGTACGTACATATATAAAAAGAATTTTTTTACATAGGTATTTTTTTTATCTATTCACACATTTTGACAATATCATAAAATATACACAATAACTGCATACAATGATTACGAGATTGTCGTATCATATTTATTTAAATACGTTATATAATTTATTCATTTATTGTAACAACTTTAAAGATTTTAATAATCTAATTATATACAAACCAGTTCAAAGTGAACATACTTAAAGTGTATGTAACTTTCGGCCGATTTTCGAATCGCCTCCGCCTTCCGCTGTCCCCCTCATCAAATCGGCCGAAAGTTACATACACTTTAAGTATATTCCATATTTAACCATATATATATATATATATATATACACACACACACACACACACACACACGTGTGTGTGTGTGTATGTGTATTATTATCAATTGATAGATAAAAAGTTTAGAGGATGAATATTCCATTGAATCATGCGGAGAACGTATACAGGACAAGCTGAAGAATTGTTACAAACTGATAAAGCCACTCTTCTTACGACCCAATGTCTTTAGATTGATACTCATATCAATGATACAGCTTGGAGCAACAATAGGGTCAGCTTAATTTATCTTTCATCTATTTTAATTTTAATTCTAAAAAAATGGAGTCACTAAAATTAAAGAACTTAAAAAGTTCATTTGATGCCGATTGTAACTATGCAGGTCGAATTCGCTCCGACTTTGGATGCCCCAGCTGTTTGCAATGATTGAGAATTACAAAAGTACTGTCATGAAGAAGAACAATAATCACATGTCAGGTTTACAGCCTTCATTTTGTTATATGTTAACTCAGGAAAAGTCATATCTTAATTCCACGCATTATGCCAACAATATAATAAGCAATTCTACGGCTGTATGCGTTCCGGTAAATCACTAATTTATAAATTGACTGCAAATCGGGAAACAAATCCTATAGAAATAATAATATTGTACATAACAATTTTAGGCGGAGTTGAATTCCAGAGTCTTTATCAATTCCATTGTCATCGCCATAACAGGTGTTATCGGTTATACTGTAGCTGGTTCTCTGATAACTGTGATTGGAAAGAGGAAGTTAATGGGTAAGATGATAAATAATTTGATGTTAAAGAAATAGAAATTCGAAATTCGAAGGGAAATCAGAAATATTGTTGTGTCAAACGCTATGTATTTATTCCTCATATAAATAATAACAAAATCAAAGTATAAAGAAAAAACGATCTAAATTGAGCGTAATAAGATTTTTTATAAAATAAATTTCTAGTTTACAATGTTAATACAACATAAAAATAAAAAGTGTAAAATATATAAAAAATATAAAATAATATAAAATTAATATCGTACGTTTCGAAACTCACGGTTCCTTCTTCAGCGATTCTTATGTATGTTACAATGTCATAGAGAGCATAATCTTACGGTCTAAGCGACATGGTGTGGTACAATTTGATCAAAGAAATTGATTCTCCTGTTTTTGTGTGAAATCAAGACTAAAATCAAGACTAAAATCTTGAAGCAAGATTACAATATTTTTGCTTATTATTTGAGTAGATTATGGTTGATTTAAGAATAACTTTTTTTTGATATGTTTACAATTATTTATAATTCCTATAATTATATTTAATTCTTGTACAGCAATTTGCTTCATTATCGCTGCTATTTGTTGCGGTTCATTGTACTGGGCAGAAAATACTAATGGTATTCTCGGATTGTCTTCGGTATTTGTTGCCATGACGAGTATAGGTGGTGCAACTGTTGTTAACATTATTGTTGATAATTTTCCTACATATCTAAGGTAAGACACTTATCATTAATTATATATTAATAATATAAAATATTAATTAAAAAATATTTATATTGCATTATTTTGTATTATTTTTACCCTATTATTATTAATCCATTTAATATATCCATATTTTTTTCTTGTTCCAGAACCATGGCGGTTAGTATAACCATGATGATGGGAAGAATTGGCGCAGTAATCGGTAATCTATTGTTTCCGGTTTTACTCAATCTATTCTGTTTAGGACCGTTTGTTATGATCGGTTTAGCCTCTTTAGGTAAAAACAATATTTGCATATTGAATAGCACTCATATTTTTACATTAAACATAGCTTTTACATATATTAAGTGAAACACTCGACAAACATCGGAATACGTGTATGTTAAAAATTCAACATAGTATAAGTAAAATGTTTTAAACAAGAGTTACATGATTTGAAGGAGGACAAGTAATGATAAAATTAATTTTCAAAAGAAATCAATTTTTTATGGTCGTAGAAGGATCGTGGCATTTTTTAAACTAGAGTCATATAATTTTTTACGTAATATAATATCTCTAACTATTCTACATATAAAATATTAAGATAGGAATTTATGTAAAAAAGTCAATAAATAAATCATAAAATATTTTACACTTTATTTTGACACATTTTGAAACAAAAAATATCTCATAAACAATTAATTTTTTGACAATCGTATCTCAATACTTTTATGCATAGAATTAATAATAAGATGAAATAATTGTTGTAACGAAAACACATTTCTTTCCATTCAATTTTTGACCTGTTCCGTAGTTTTATTTAATATGTCCTACTTATTATAAAAATATTTTTTAACTATTTCTAATTATTTTACAGTATCTGCACTTCTGGTTGCTATTCTACCCCGAAAAACAACGCAAGATGACAAACCGAAAGATATTGTTTAATCTTTCTGGTTACATACAACGTTGATTTCTTTATTTGCTTTATTATTTGTCGAAAAGTCAACATGTAAATATATTTCCGCACAATTTAATAATTGTCGTCGTTCTTTTATATCCGCGCTATATCTTCCATATTATGTAAATATATACATACATACTACTCATCTAATAAATAAGGCCTATATACTCCCACCTATTGTGTTCTATATATGTGTACATAATATAAACGATCATGCGATCATACAATATGTACAATACATATTTTAAATTCATTCCACAAATATTCTATGTAATATTTAATATTTCATTATCTCTGTCTTTAATTGTTCTAATTGTATTTATCACAATTTTCTGTTATGAGCAATTTAAATTAACAACAACAAAAACAGTGCAACAAAAAGTGTAACTAATTCAATGTATAAAAAAATGTAATAAAATTCTTTTATTACTAATGTCTTCTTCAGCCTTTCCATATGCAAAATATGCAATGCCGAAAGAGGGCGCAATAAAAACCCTTTTTTTTTTTTTTTGAAAAAACTGCTGAATGGCTACTACTGAAGGCTAATTGTCAGCGAAAATTTCTCTACAAAAAATATCAACATTTAGCGTACATACCCATCCACCTGCACGCACACGCACACACATCAGCGTAACCAACTTATTATATTTTCTTCATAAGACCTTTTTCACTTCATTCTGCTTTGATATTATCTCACGTTATACGTAAAATTGTTGAAGAACATTACCATATAATAGATTACAAAATCATTAAGTAAATGTTTTATTTTGAAATATGTTTGTGATTTTATTTTGATATAAATTCTTTTTAAAATTAACATTTAATTTAATTTTATACTACTTTCACCTGAAAGTTATTTTTTTGTTCATGCAGCTTCCAATGTAATAGTTTGAGAGCACAAGTATTGTTGTAAAACGCTATGTCCACAGACTAGAACTCGGTCCAGCGCAACTCCTCCAAAGCGCAAACTTTGGCGTATGACGTGCACGTGCAACTTATTGTTATGGTGGAAGTAATTATATATATAAAGTGTTCTCATATATAATTACCTATTCTCATATACCAAGGCCTTAGTAAAATATTCTTCGAAATAATCAGTATAAAGTATAAGTATATAGGAACATTATAATGTTGTACCTCAATAGTCTAAAGGCTTTATAAGACGTGCTTCGCACGGAATACTAGAGATCTGGATTCGACTCCCGGCCGAGATAATATTTTTTGCAATATAAATTAATTATTTACAGATTTTTAATATGTTATTCATATAAATTTTTTAATATGTCATTCAACATTATTAAGATCCAAAATGCTATGAGCATCAAAATTGTTAGATTGTTAGTCAATTTAACTCGTGATAGTACTGCGGTAGTTTATTAGACTTGCGTTTTGTAAGTCTAAAAAAAATTTCGGCGCGCATTTTCAAGAATCTACATACGTAATATATAAAATCACACGCAATTATATAGAAGTACCTGAGATCTAATTTGACCATGTTCTCATCGGTATTCATTTGGATTAAAAATTTGTGTTAAAATTCAGTGACCCGTTTTCTTTGCCTGTGTGAGTGTATATACAAGGTATAACTAAATTTACTACTAAATTTACTATTTTTTTTACCCCAGAAAGCTATATTACGTATGTATAAAAACTAACTCATTTTTCAAAATCTGTGTTTAATTCATAGATTCAATTTACCATATAATTAGTGCAATGTCATCCTTTCATACATTAAAAAATACTAACATATGTATATACAAAGCTATTTCAACAAAATGCTCAAATAAGATCCAATTTAATTATTTTATATAAATTTATCATACTATAAAGATCAAAATCTGAAGAATTGAAGAATCCACAGTAATCCTTTTTATAACTTATCAATCCTGGGATCATAAACTCATGAGAGAAATGTATTTAAAATAGATAATAAATTTGACCGCGCGTATTCTTGCGGTACTGAATTTGTGTTACAACATTAGTATCTGGGAACGACTGGAACCGGTTCTCGCCTTCCGGTCGGACCCGTCGGACTGCCACGATTGTGCGCATGTTGTCTTACAGCCCTGCGACGCGACAGTATCGATACAACCAGTGTGGTGGTAGTAGGTCGAATTCAGGCGACCCATTGTAATGTAAAAGATTAAATTGGAGTCCTGCTGGCTGGGCCCGTAGGTAGTTAAAGGCGAAGAGACGTAAAATCATGGAAGAGGTCTTTCAAAACGGCAATTATCAGAGGGAGGCTAACGCCAATATGACCGCCATGGAGACGCAGAAAGAGGTAAAGGGCTGGCTTGTTTTTCACACGCATTTCGTCTGTGCATGGCAAATCAATAAGTCGTTCTCTCATCGTGGTACGCCTTTTCGGAGTAATTCGGAGTCGCGATGCTTCGTGTGCTTCAGCTCGTCGCCACAGATTTACGTGACTATGAAAAGTACGAAATTCCGGCGAAAAGAACCTTCCGATCGAGCGCTCACTGGATTAGACAGATTTAGAGACGCCAATTAAATAATTTAGTTTTAAATTGCGAACAGATGAATGCATGTCGCGCAGTGATCGCATCAGAACACTGCGTACGTCTCTCAATTGGTATCAGTGACTCGTGTTCAACTTTTCCCTTCGTATATTATGTCTTCGTACAATGTATAAGTTTGTTGCGTACTGTTTGCTTCACAAAAATCATAACGGTCTGCATAGCTGATAAGGAATTAACAGATGGATAACATACAAAAGCAGTATCTCTCAAAACTTGCGCGAATGTTAAACAAAAAAAAGAGACTATTGAATGTATTTCAGGACTGCCTGCTCGACCACATGGAGATCTCAATAGTGGAAGCAGAGAAGAGAGCGAATAGAGCACTTAATTTAAAAGAATTCTACACTGTATACCTCATTGAAACTAAGTGAGTAAAAAAATAGAAATACAAATCGTATAACATGCAAAAAATTAACTGATTTAATTGAAAGAAATAAAAATTTTTATTTTTCAAGTATACGAGTATTTATTTTAAAGTCTTACGGTCTTATTTAATAAATACTATTACCAAGGTATTTGTTATACATAATTTGTATCCATTCAATTTCTTACAGAATCACTGATCCCAATTTCAAAAATGCGCTGACTAGAATAAGCTCGTTATGGCGGCGATATACCGAGTTTGAATTGCTCCGTGCTTATCTGGAGATTTCTTATCCATATATTGTTTTACCACCGTTACCAGAAAAGAAGGTTCTCTACGCTTGGCAAAAAGTGACGACTGATACATTTGATCCTGACTTTGTTGATCGCAGAAGAGCTGGACTCGAGGTACGTTTTTAATTTACATTTATAAGTACATAAAAATGTTATACTGAAAAAATAAATAAAAATGTTTCTGTATACAGAATTTTCTTATAAGAGTTGCTTCGCATCCTATACTTTCACGAGATGAACATTTTATGGGATTTCTTCAACAAACAGATGGTTGGAGAGAAAGTGTTAAAGAAACAGGTAATTTTTATTTCTGTAGAAATAGAAAAAATTATTACCACATTAAATTAAAAAAATAGTAATTAAAAAAATAGTAATTAAAAAAATTAAAAACTAAGTAAAGTTTATGTATAAAAATTAATAATTTAAAGAATATCTTTGATAATTTTTTGTTGTAATAAGTGTTTGTTATTTGTTGCGTAGGGTATTTGCAGATTGCAGAATCAAAACTGAAAGCACTTAGCGTAGCGGTGCGACTGAGAAAACCGGACAAACGGTTCGAAACTATAAAAAATTATGGAATTGAACTGCAGGTATGCTAGGAATCAATATATATCTGTAATATATATTTTATTTTAATAAACGAATTCACAATTTTTTAACGAGTAGCGATCTTTGATAATTTATTTTTTTGCTTTTATTAATAATATCTTTTTAATTGTGCAGCTATATGCAAAAACAGTTACATCTAAAAATATAAAATATTACTCCTGGATTCATTAACTTTTTGAACTGAATATTTTAAATATATAACCAATGAGAAATTGCCTTTAACGGTCAAGCTTGGATCTTAGGTGCTATGTATGTAGTCTTAGGTATGTATAGTCTTTTATTCACACGAAATTATAATAGCACCTAAAGATCCAAGCTCATTGGTTGTTTCTCATATGTAAGGTCCTATAAGATTTAGTATTTAAATATTGTTTAAAAATATACTAAAATAGTTGTAGGCACATATATATATATATATATATATATATAAGTATATAAAATAAAATCAATCTACATATGTGTATATATATATATGTGTGTACCTATAGTATAAAATCTACATATATAGTATAATATAATAAATAAATAAATCTATACAAAATCAAAAGTAAAAAGGATCTAATTGCAAAAGAAGTTAAATTCCTATCGCTGTAGAAAAAAAATTGTAAAAAAAGTTAAATCTCCAAATCTCTATTGTTACATAAATGTAATTATATTTATAAAGCCATATTTGATAAAAATGGTAGACTATTTATTCCAAAATCAGGAGAAAATACTTTTTCCAGACTTCAAAACCAGTTAAGTGCATTCTAATGTATTTAATAAACAAAAATTTTTTTTATGCCAGGTCATTCATGTTTTGTATATATTAAAACAAAGAATTTTTTTTAATTTTTTACAAAAAGATCTTATTAACAGTTTAAATGATAAAAATTATAAAAGGTTTTTTCACTCTCGCAAAAAAGAACTTTAAGTGGAAATAACAACTTTCACCAATTCATTATTCAATTATAATGTCAGTATTGTTGATGTGTCTTCAAATAATTATTTTTACAGAATAACTTGTGTAATCTGCTGCGAGTACGCGCACGGCTTGTGGAAAAACAACACAGTCTATATAAGTTGCACGTAAATTATGGGCGTGTTTTCAGCGAATGGAGTGCCATAGAGAAAGGAATGGGCGACGAACTACAGGTATTCCTCATCATGGAAAGTAACGCTGTAATAGTGCTAATAAGCAAGAAACATCAATGTTATTCACATCGAAAACGGAAAGAATAACGTTCTACGTAAAACGAAAAGAAAACAAATGCAATTTAAGTTTGCAAAACATTTTCTTAGAAATCGGGACACTACTTGGACTCATTAGCGGCTACAATAGACACTACGCTCGAGGAGGAAGAGCTTATAGCAGATCAGCTGAAGGAGTGGCTATTTAGTGCATCGGCGTTGCAGGCTGTGGTTAAACGCAGAGAAGCCCTGCAATTGGCAAAAGATGAAGCGCATGATGCCTTAACTACTACATTCGAACAGAAAGACAAAGTCATGCACGGTACGTAGCAAATTCCATAATTTTTGTAAAATATAAAAAACGTAATAAATCTAATCGAAACAATCATACACATACATTTTAATTTTTTAATATAATCACATTTTGTTTAATGAATTCTGTAGAACAATTTATAAAAAAAAATTTTCCTATACTACTAAAATAATATTGAAAATTTTGCTTTTCAATTCTTAAAATGAGATATTTAATACACAGAAAGTACGTTTTTGATGAAATGATTAGATAAATACAGATTTAAAAATAATTTTATTGAAACAATTAAAATAGATATGTAGAAAACTCAATAATGCTACAAAAAGTTTTGACATTCTAACAACCAGTTTAAACGTTCTGCATAATTATTTTGATAATCCAAAAAGAAGCATGCAAAGATTAGTCCAAAGTGTTGAGCTAAATAAATTTTCATGAAATTCTTCAAACGTTCTACTGAGTCTCATGTACATATATGCATAGAATCGTAAAAGAATTTTATATATAAAGATAATTAACTTAGGAATTTAGCGATAATTTAGGACAAAGTCTGTGCCGTTTTTTAAATATTTTGTTATTTTCGGCGATTGAATCTTATTACATATTAAAATAACTGAGCTCGACATATCATGTCTGAATTTGATTTCTACGTATATTTTTGGAAATGATAAATTTTGTTCTCAAGGAAAGACTGGTTTGATGTCACGCTTATTCGGTTCTGTAGACACCGAGGAAGTTCGCGAATTAAAAATCATCCAGCTAGAGCAACGAATTGCGCAGCACGACGAAACTGTGAAGCAAGTGGACGAAGATTTGAAGTAAAACCATGTTTTTAGCCGAAACATTATCTAATTGATATTTGTTATAGAAAAGGTTAATAATTTTGACAAATTATTACACAGGTCTTTCTCTATTAAAGCTATGATGGACATCGACAGGTTCCAGCATCAAAAGATCGTCGATTTAAAAGAGACTTTGGCAGCTTATTGCATTCTACAATTTAAGTTAGCCAGGAAGGTCGATATATTAATTTCATTTCAAACATTCTATAATATATATATTTGAATCGATCATTTCAAAAATCCTATGAGTAAAAAAGTTTAACTTGTTTGAGAACGGAAAAGCTTATTAGTTTTGATAACCGTAATACTAAAATTAATTCTTGTATAAATAACGTTTCATTATCTCATCATATACATATTAAGTGAGTGGAACATACTGCCTTTAAAAATACATTTTTAAAAAAGCTGAAAAAATTTAAACATTATATGCTGTTTCTCAAGAAGCAGTTTTAATATACATATGAAATACAATTTTTTGTTAGAAAATTCAGTAAATGTAATGACATACTTTTAAGGATATTTTATAAAATAACATGCTGTTTTTTGAAAAAAATGTTTAACTTTAGTTTTAAAAATAATATATAATTAAGACATAAAGAAAGAAATAAATATTATATTGTAACATAGAACTCCAGTAAGTTAAAGTTATTTATTAATAAGTATTTCATGTTTTCAGAATATAATGTGTGCCTTCCAACAAGCAACACGGTGTGACACAGTGATCATCCTTGTTTAACATTGGCGAACAACAAGGACATACTGATACATTGTGTCACACCGTGTCATATGTGTCGCTTGTTGGAAGGCACCCAATATAAAGAAGATAAATCACCATTAATCTCTGTTTTTTATGTAAATGATGACTATAGTTTTATAAAACTGGTACCTAGGTAAAAAATGATTAATGTAATTTCTGAAGCAAATTGTGTGTATATCTTCTGTAATTCTGAAACCCCTAATATATCTTAATTGAAATATAAATTAAAATATATAAAAGGTTTCTGAAATAACCGATTTATTTGTTTTCTTTTTTTTCGATGTTTCTTAATGAAAATATTCTTTATTATTACAGGGTCTCCAAGCTTGGCAGCACATCAAAGGTTGTCTCGAAAGTATACCGTGAAAAAATCACGGCACTTTGCGGAACAGACTGTCACAGAACAATAATTGTCTTTACGTTTCTCATACAACACATATTCCTGTATCTTGTAAGTTCACTCATACAGTACGCTTATCATATTAATATTTATATATATATATATCCATATATAGCTATTGTATATTACTATATACAATATATACATACACACACACACACACACGCACGCACACGCACACACACACACACAGTACCCTTTATAAGTTTGGAAACACCCTACATTTTAGAGGCAAACCACGATCTATACGATTTAAATAGATCTTACTACACAAGTGGCAAAAGTCATAGCTACCGAGGAAAAATACTTTGATTGAGGTATTCATATATTTTGTTACTCGTATTGAAATAATTAATGCTCAAATACAAAAAAAACAGCGGCTTTTAATGCAATCCCCTAATAGAACACTATAAGCTTGAACATGTCAAAAATATATCGGACAATTATTTCTATCTTGACACGCGATTCATACGAAATCTAATTCTTCGGGATCATTTTCGGTGACTGTTGTGATTTTTACAGTTTTTACAGAATCAGAAATCAACTTGCATATCAAACAGTTTACTACTGTAACAGAAACCGTGAAATTACAATCAAACGATCTGTGATGTGTATTTACAATACACGATGTGGCCGAGAATGTGGCAAAATGAGTGACAATAGATCAGAACGCAAAATTCAACCTTGAGCGCTTCAGTGCTGTGAAATAATTGTCCGACGTATTTTCGGCATGTACAAACTTACAGGTGTTTTAAATAAAAATGTTCATCGTAATTTGGACGTCTTATGATCTATTTAAATAAAAAAAAATGTATAGGTCGCTGTCATATTTGCTTCTAAAACGTAGGATGTTATCAAACTTATGGAAGGTACTCCGGCATATTCACATATATATATATATATATATATATATAATAAAAACTACATATATATAAATATGTCGAAACACATTATTAAAATATTTATACATATTTAGTACATCGCTTACGCGAAAATATTTATTCATGTACACCAAATTACGATGCGAACCGTAAGACTTATAAAATTTGCTATATGTAAATGACGATGGATGTAATTATTGTGATGTAATTTTTTTTACACTACTTTTTTGTGGTTCGAAGAATAGATACTTTAATTTCATTTTCACAATTAAATCAAATTTAATTGCTTTCATGTAAAATCAAATATTTGTTCACGAATATAAAATATATTTATTATGTTGTACATTATCCAAAATTAATATATACGACTAGATAATTGTATTTATAATATTATTTGTAGTATTTATTTTATATATCAATATATAAATTCACGCGAAATTATATATAACTAATTAAGATCCAACTCAACTGTTATAGGCTTCAATTCATATTAGTTTATTTTATATATTTCTGTCTATATATCTTTAATATTATTGTTACATTACAAAAGTTGAAATTTAGAATACGAACCTTTTCTCATTAGTTCGTACTTTACTCAGTAATTCATGTTTTATTAGCATATGAGATTCATATATACCATAAAAAAAATTTATATTGTTTTTATTATATATTTTGCGCAAACGTCAAACATATTTTGTAAAAGTTATGCATAATATTCTTATATGCAAGAATTCTTATTTAATTATTTATTCCTATCACACTAAATATAGAAAAATATACAATTCTATGTATTTTCACGTTATATTTATTTTATATAGAGGCACGGCTATGTGTATATTGTCTTTTATATATACTATACATTTTTATATGATCTGGCTTTATGTTATATGAGCAAACAATTAAATATACATATATGTATATATAATTTGTCTTGTTGTCTTTTTATTGATTGGTATAGTATTTTTAAATTTTATTTTTCCAGCTGGATAAATATATCTTCTTTTCTTTTTCCTTTTTATATTTTCTCTATTTCTTTTATTTATATAATAGAGGTAATACGAAACCACATCAAAATCAGAGAATCCCAGCAGCCTCAACGAAAAGAGGCTTCAAAAAAGCGTGACACGCCAATTTTAAGATATGATAGAGGTTTACATATGATATATATTAAAGAATACAATGGCAATTTTGTAAAGTAATATAAGTACATTTTAGATTTCATGCACATCCTTTTATTTATTATTCTAGTTTTATTATTCAATCAGTTAATTACATAGCATTGTATCAGTAGACGCGGTAGTGTCTTCGGCCATGTTCAAAAACTGAAAGACACTACAAGTCTCTTATCCCGAACCACCAATAAAGTCCATTTTTAGGGGGTGCAAAACTACTAAAATATAAAAAATTTTGATTCGAACGTTATATATTCTGAAAGGCGGCATCGTCACGAATAATTTGAGCCAAAAATATTTAAAATCGGTCAAGCCGTTCTGGAGTTACAAGCGGTCGAAAAGTGGTGATTTTAATGAAAAATTAAGAAACGTTTTCTTCTTCTTCTTATTCACCTCTGTCCGCATTCAAGGCCGTATTAAAACTTTCTAACATCCGCTCTCACTTTTCATCCCCCCACCACCACCCCTCTCTTTCGCCGTATTTAACTCTCTTTCGTTATATAAAATTTTTTAATCACTTTTTTATATATTTGTGATATATTTGTACTTTAAAAAGTAAATAATATCCGAAAAAAATTATATCATAAAAATGAAAAGTTCAAGCCATGTTCAAAAAATGATACTTAAAAATTTAAACCTTTTTATCTTATAATGATATATTACCATGAAAAGTAACTGATATATTTTTAATTAAAGATGCCAGTACAAAGTGAACATACATAAAGTGTATGTAACTTTCGGCCGATTTTCGAATCACCTCCGTCTTCCGCTATTCCCCTCACCTCAGCGCCCGCGCGCAGATGTAACTTTCGACCGATTTTCGAATAGTATTGTTCGGAGATAAATAAACTTCGCCTTCCGCTGTCGTCCTCACCGTCCCGTGTGCGGTCCAAATGTCGCTCGAGCATGGTTTTCAAACTTTCTTAATAATTATTTAACGAAGGACAAGCGACGGTTAAAATCTGTTGGAGGTTGTTACTTTATGCGTGAATAGAAACTTCGATCTGTCAAGATCGGATATAGTGCGAAGGAGAAACAATTAGTAGCCACTAATTAATATTACAAGAAGTTTTATTATTAGAAACTTGCAACGTGTGCGTTCTCTAAGCCCGGATCCTCGTACGGGCAACAGCGCTTTGACATCAAACGCTGATTGGTGAAAAATCGGTGGCGAGGGTAAAATTTACCCCCATAACCCGTTTTTCACCAATCAGCGTCCGGTGTCAAAGCGCTGTTGTCCATATGAGGATCCGGGCTAAGAAGCGTGTTAGAGAGAGAGAGCAAACGAAAAAAAAAGGCGCGAATAACATACAAGAGTTTTCATGAGAGCTCGAACAAAAACATAACATAGAAGGATGCTACTCATCTAGTAACATGTAACTAAGTATATTAACCGAAGAGACAGAGATCAATGAAACTTAAATATGCAACAGAGGTCACTCAGGGTTTTGATTTTTACATATGTCAATATCATTGGAGAGAGATTCCCTATTCGATATACACGTATATTTAACTAGTTTTAAATTTTCTGCCAGTAAGTGGATCAGTATTTCTGACCCACGTAGGATGCATCATAATCACAACAATTAATTTTGTAAACAACGTTTCTTTTCAAAGTATTGAGAAGAAACTCTTTATAATTTAGATTTTGATAAAATTTTGCATTTTATTTAAGCAAAAAAAAAACTTTTAACAAAAACTATTAAGGCTCCTGAATACTCAGCCAAGAACTCCGTGTTGATGGGTAGCGACACCGAATTAGTCGGTGGCTAGAAAAACTAGTAGTACGCTACTGGTTATACATACAAATGCAAACTCATGTCCGTGTGCTCATTTTCAGGTAGAAGGGGAGCGCACAGCCATGGGTTCATGCTTGTGTGTGTGTATAGCGCCTCGCCATAGTAAAAGTCTGAACTAATAGGCGTGAAAAAGTGATGTTTTGACGACAAATTTTTTCTTGCGTGCCATTTCGTCAATATTTGCTTATTTGTGAAAATGTGACTTTCCTCGTACTCGTGAAAGTCCTAAAAATTGGCGGAAACTGCAGTTATCGTGAAATTTTGTACGTAGAAGCGTATATTTCACTCGTTTCATTAGCTGTCAAAATGTGTGATTCTGCCCGAGTATAGGCTCACTTTACGTGCCTTTTACGACCATTTACTGACTATCAGAGGAAGAAAGGATAGTTTCCGCCAATTTTCACAAGTGTTTTTGAGCGATCTCGCCTTTTAAATTTATCCAAATTGTCTTTATTAAAAAATGGGACGCAAGAAAAATTAATGTGTTTGTCTCGCCTATGACGTCACAATTCCAACATGGCCGTCGCCGGTATTCAGGAGCCTTAAAATTAGATTTTTTAATTTGTTGGAAATTCCGTCAATAAACAGAATGGAAAACCATTTAACTTTTTCTTTTATGTAAATTATTAGATGATTTTTTAATATTACAATATAGAATTAAATTTTTTTATTAATACTTTTATTCTCTTAGTGTCATACTGTTAAAAATAAAATTCAAAGGATAGTCATTGTCTAATAAAATCTTAACAACAATATCCAAATTCTTTTTGTGAATTTCCGAATGTGGAAGATAAAACATTTTATCGACAAGATTGAAAATTATGGACGAGTTTTTTAATTCATCGATTGATCAATCGATGAATTAAAAAACTCGCCCTATATCCTTCTTCTAAGAAATTGGATGTTAAGACCAAAAATTCAAAAACATGCCAGAAAAATTAGGTCTTTGGTTAAATAATACGGTTGTATTATTTAAGGAAACAGTAATAACCTTAAAATGTCAAAAAATATGAATTTAAAAAAATCTTTGCTTGTCCCTTCAGAAATAACATACATACATTTTTATATAACATCTTTTAGTATTATTAAAAACAAGATATTTAAAAAGCTCAAGTAAGTGAAATATTCTGACATATACATCTGCATAGTCAAATCTTTAACCAAAAATTTCATACAATGTCTACTACAAATTTTATCGACACTCAGAACAAATATAACAAAATTTTTCAATATGATGAATTGACTTTGCATACCACGCAGCACTTGGCATACTTCATTTAAATAATTACAAAATGACAAATTTTGCTCAGCTTCTGCTGAGAGTCTGCTATGAGATTGTGTTAATAGATTTTGCTTGCATAACATGAGACTAATACAAACGCAGTTGGTATCAATGTTATATAATATTTTGTGTAAATTTGCTGTAAAACTGCTAGCATATATATATATATGATGTACCGAAACGGAAAAATATCTCAAAACTAAGCATTTTAAATAAAATGCGTTTAAGCGAAAAGTGTTTCAGAAAATTATAGAGTTTCACGGATTTACTGTTGCTATGAATTTGATCTTGGGTGGTGTTGTCAAGGTCAGATCAAGGACATCTTAAATTTTTTTAATAGGACTTCTAATTTTTTATTACATATTCTTGTAGAACTTCTTCAAACCTTTTCAGAACACTATAATTTCAATCACTTTAAGTATATAAGCCATTTCGATATCATCAAACTTTTTATAATAAGATTTATAGCCCACGAAAGCAAGATCTAAGAAGTATCCAGCCAACCAAGGCAAGAGATCTAAGGATCAATTAACAATAAAAAAAATCATTTACATATCACCTTTTCGTATAAAACAACGCGTGAAATTTTGTGCAGAGATGGGAAAGTTACAAATGTAAAAGACTTGTAAGTGAAGACTTGTAGTGTCTATTATTAATCTTTTAAATTAACTTTTAAATTAACTAGTAGTTTTTTGAACATAGCCGGAGAACACTATCGCGTTTTCTGATTGCAAATAAATTCCAGCTCTAGTTCAAAATAGGCCACGTGATTGCGTTCAGAAAACAACGGTTCAGTGATCAGGTGCATTTATTAGTACTACAACCATTCACTGAGCGCTATTGCATTTTATTGACGGATTCCATTAGATTGAAAAATATAGACCAAACAGGTACAAAAATTCGTTGAACGCTTAAATTAAATTTCTTTCTTCTGATTAATCAAATGTTTCAAAACATTTGTAGCGCCAAGTGGACATTACCGCATAAAAATTGACAAATAAGTTTATAAAGTAATTATGAAAGTAACTATTAAAAAAGTTAGTAGTTACTTAAAAGATGTAACTAAGTTAAGTTATAATCAGGGAATGGAAGTAACTCGTTACTTGTAACGTAGTTATATTTTTTGGATAACGATAACGTACAGTTATTACTTTTATCGTTACTTTGCATACGATTGGATACGTTATTCTGTTATATAACAATTACATGTTATTAATTACGACAGCTATAAATGTAGTTGTAGAACATTGAGTGTTTTTATTTAATACAAGCGTAAAATTTACCTTAATCTAAACATCGTACATATTTTGTTCTAATTGAGCTGTGTACAAAGCTTTACTCTGTACATTTCTGTGTACAAAGCTATACTTTGTACATTTCTGTGTACATTTATGTTGAGCAATTGGAAAACACCTCTTTTTGCAAAATTTCTGTTATATATTTTAATTATAGCGTTATAACTTTCTTTCTATCAAAATATTTCATTTACAGCTAAAAGTATACATTAAGTAAAAATATAGCTGTATTATAATAAAGAAATTATGTGTATTTCTTAATTTTCTTTTTAATTTCTAACTTATATTGTGATTCAGATAGTCCTATACAATCCTATATAATCTTCTAGTTTTCTGCAAAGTATAAAAAAATTCCTATACATAGTGTCAGTGTTTTACATGCTATATACATATATATATTGCTTTTATTAACATTTAAACAAAAACACTACAAAAGTACATTTTTATACTGATTTTTAAAAAGTAACAGAAAAGTAACGAAAAGTTACCTTTCGAGTAACGGTAATTGTAACGAGTTACTTTTAAAAAGCAATAAATGGTAACACGGTAACTCGTTAATTTTTTTACTCGGTAACGAGTAACTGTAGCTTGTTTTAAAAAGTAACTTTCCATTCCCCCCCCCCCGGTTATAATTACAAATAAAAAAGAAATAACAAAGTTAAGTTACAGTCACTGAAAAAAAGTAACTTTAACTGTCTTCGTTACAAGTAACGAGTTACTTCCCATCCCTGATTTTGTGTGTACAATATACTCTAGTTCAAATCAAATTCGTTGTAACTGATTTGAAATGATTCAAATCAGTTGAATTGTATTTGAATGCTGTTATAACTCGCATAGTACATTTTAGTACTATTTCAATATTACATATCTCTGAAATACAAATCAAGAAATTGCGACGTAGATCTACAATAAAAAATGGGCCTTACTTGGAAGAAATCAACATCTCATCACAAAAAGTTTGATAATTTCGAAACCTTAATTAAAGTATTATAGATAAAACTATAGTAATTTAAAAAGGTCTGAAGAAAAGCTACAAGAATATGCAATAAAAAATAGGGAGACTCGTTAAAAACGTTTCAAATGACTTTGTCCTGATCTTGACAATGCCACTCAAGATTAAATTCATAACGCCAATAAATAAATCTTTTAAAACTCTACAACTTTCATCCGGAACAATTTTTCCTAGAATGCTTAGTTTTCGAGATATATCACTATTCCAGCGCTTTTTATGAACTCTGTACATTAGCAATTTAGTATTTATATAGTTATATCATATATAGTGTTTATATAAATGTACATACACGCGCATGCGCGCGCATGCGCGCGCACACACACCACACACACACACACACACACACAAACACAAAATTTATGCATATGGCGATTACACATAAAAAATTTACAATGTAATGTTATGAAGCACGTACATATATAACGATAAACATCGCACCGACTTTCTCCTTCGGGACTTTCCTCCAACTCTTCTTTTTTGCTGTATGTAATAACAATAATAACGATTTACACATGATAAATAAAAGATTGATTGATATCACACACTGTCAGGACTGCTGGATTCTTGGTCGCAACCTGCTTCAGGCTCTTCTGTCTCGCCTTCGTCACTTTCATTCGGTGGACTTGGCTGTTCTAATTGATATTGGTTAAAACTGTGTGTTGATGCGTGATTTTGATGCTGATAATGTAGCAAATCATGATGTTGGTAGCAATGACGCTGATCATCAACTATTTGCTGCGGTGGAAGGTCATTGATTGATATATTACACGATCTTTGGCGTAATCTACGATGACAGATCAGACAGAGTATCATGATCACTATGATACTGCCTATCACATAGACTATCGGCATCGTGTAGCTGCCTGCTGGTACGGCGGCGACGCCTGTAATTCGCATCATAATATGCATCCGCATATACAAATAATTCTATAAAATATTTTAAAAAATGGTCTAAAATTTAATAATATAGAATATGTAATAAAAAATATCAGCCCATCAACATAAATTTAAAAGTTAAATCTATTCCAAAGTTAAAAATAATTGGGGGGGGGGCAGTTTTAGTAATATAGACATTATATATGTAGATGCTTTGCTTGTATTTTATGAGTATATGAACCCTTCACAAATCGATTTTTTGTGTATGTGTGTTATTATTTTAAATGTCATAATAGTTATTTTTGTGACTAGGGAGTAAAAGTGGTTTTTACACCCGGAGGGTGTTTGACGGCACGAGGGCTGGCGAAGCCAGCCCGAGTGTACGGTCGAACACACGCGGGTGTGAAAACCTTATTCCCGAGTAGCAAACAAAATTTTTCGTACTAGGGAGCTGTGAAGGTGGGGAATGAGGTTCATGGATTGTTTTGCTGAGTGGGGAGTAATTGGGTGTTATTTATTTACAATTCTCCGGGGTGTAAAATCGCATTTTACTCCCGCAAATGCGGGAGTAACACTATCATTTTACACGCCCTAGTACGAAAAATAAATAATAAATCTATATTTTTTATTTTGTACTATCTTTTTGTTGTATAAAAAAATTTGTTGTATAAAAAAAGGCGTTAAAAAAATTCGGAAAACAAAAATTGCTGTTTATTGCTAATCAGCTCTGTAATATGTTGCACCTTTCCTACACTAACTTTTAGATTCCGTCCCATGAACACGAAAAATGAAAACGGAATTGAAAAAGTGAGATTTTGAATACGTCCAATATTTAAGAAAAAACAAAGGTGCTTGAAGGAAACAAATGATAATTTAATAAAAGAAATACAACATAGAAAAAATTTATTGTATATCTTTCAAATAGGCACATTAACATTTTATGAATAAAAAAATATTTATAAATGAAATGTAATATTATAGATATACCATTTTTATTATAAAATTAGAATGTCATTCTTCTTGCGAAAAATATGCCCCATGGGAATAGATTACTTAAAATCGAAAGAAATGATACTTAATTAATTGGATGTCACTACCATTTCACCTTTCCGATTCTGTTTTTCTATGTTCATAAGACAACATCCTAAGTGCGTCTTCCCTACACTAAGGCTGATATTCATATTCCGTTTTCATTTTAAGATTGTATTAAGTAATGTACGTCTTAATATGCTACGATTATTTGATTGGATCACGACTTCTTAAGATAACATTAAATATAAAAATCAACCATGAATACGTGCAGCGTATACTATAAAAAAAACTGCAGTCCGATGGAGAAAAGGAAGAAAAACAAATATTTGTCTCTCTTTCCTGCTAACAGCATTAGTCAATTAGTGAGAATCTAGTAAAAAAAAAAAAAAAAAAAAACAGTACAATCTGTGCATTAGAATCTAGAGCATATGGAGTGTGCATTACCTATATCTCTTGTGATCCAAACGTGCACAGAAAGAATGTTACGGTTGCCACAACCGGAAATAATAGCACTTTTCGCCCATCAATATATTTGATTGTGATAACCATATATAAGATGGACATAGAGTAAAATCGCCTATTATGAGATACCTTCTTTTAAAAGCTTGTAATTGATTTAATTTATAATCTTAACTCTTGTTTTAATGTCAAATTTAAAGGAAATACATTCAAATTTTATCTAACAGTTAACAATCAATAATAGCTATACTTTATTGTACCAATATATAAATTTTTTTTATTAAAAGTGTCGATTTTACTCATTTAAAAAAACATTCCTATAATATGAGACACAAGAGTTTCTTTACATGAGATAGTATCTCATAATAGGAAATCAAAGAAGAAAAAATGAGAAAATACTTTCTATACACACTTTTATTGCACAACAATAGGTATAGCAAAATTTTAGTATTCATTATATATAATAACATAATTTTTTGACTTTTTTTTTGTCATTTCAAAATGCAAAAGAAAATGTCCTAGATAGATTAGAAATTCATCACTTTTAGTATAGAATCATAGACTTATAAAAATGAAACACACAAAAAATTAATAAGACTTAAATGTCTTAATTAAAAAAAAAGCAAAGTTTAAACTTCTTAATTTTTCTAATAAAAAATAAGTCACAAGCTGTGAAATATTTATTTAAGAGGGATAACAAACAGCGCAGAAAAACTTTTAGAATTTTACTTCACCACATTGTACATAACTCATTTTAAACAAATCTGACATTTTTCCCATTTCTTTCCATGTGCATCTTTTGGAAAAAGTCCTGCACAATATGGACATTCTGCATCATTTTCAGAAGAAAGTTTAAGATTATACCGACAAAGTATACAATAAATTTACAAAACAACGCGATAATTTACTTATATTGCATGTGTACATTAAAGTGAATTAAAACAACAATAAACTATGACAAAGTTAAATAGGTACCGTAAAATGACACTTAGGTATTGTAAGAAATTTTATGTATATGTATATATAATATATATATATATATATATACATAAAATTTCTTACAATATTATTATATATATATATACATAAAAATTTCTTACATTATAATATATTATATATGTATATATATACACAAAATTTACAATATAATATATATATATTTTATATATATACATATATATATATATACACGGAGTGAGGTATTTAAACCAACATTTAAAAGGGTTGGCCTTTTCGAAACAGTCAACGTACTCGTACGAAAATATATCTTTTTACGTGATAAATCGAAATTGTCGCATTAACAAATATCAACAAACGATAGGAATTCTGCCGAAATAGATCTACGACGGACGCAATATTTATACTTCGCTAGTTAGCTGAAAAAACCATCGAATTTAACAAACCTACCTTCATGTACTTTATTGACCTTACACAAGCCTTTGACAAGGTGAGACAAACCGATATATTGAAGCTATTGAGGGAACGGAAATTATTAGAGTGTGATTTAGTTTTGAGGGTTTTTTTTTTTCAAAAACTGATTCATTTAAACAAGATAATGAACGAATACCTTAATCAAAATATTTTCCTTCCGTTTTGTATAACTTTTTCCCATCTTTCTAGCAAGAGATGGATTCCGCGACGATAAAAAGATTCTTGTTTAAAGTTAATCCAATTTTCTATAAATTTTCGCACATCTTCGAAATTATGAAAATTTGTATCCTCTAGAACATGTTGCATCAAACATAATAAGTGAGAATCAAATATAATGTCTGAAGAATACGCGGGGTGCGCGGTAAGACTTCCCATTCCCGCTCTAATAGCGTTTGTTTCACTGATAATGCAACATAAGGTCGAGCATTGTCAAAAAGGATCTTTGCGTCGTTTACTCGCAATTGGTGATTGTTTTTAGTCGAATGCTTGCTTTAATTTGTGTAATTGTTATCGATAACGATCAGCGGTGATAGTTTCATTCGGATTTAACAGTTCATAATACACACCTTCTTGATTCCATTAAATACACAGCAATACCTTTGAATACCGTTAATATTGCGCTTTGAAGTGGATGTTGTTGGCTGGCCTGGATCAGCTCATGATTTTCTTCGTTTAGGATCAAAATAGATCCATTTTTCATTCCTAGTAATAATTCGATACAAAAAAGTTCTTTTTTGTTTGGCAAGCAACGAAATGCAAATGTTTAATCGGTTCGCAATTCGGTTTCGCATTTTCCAACAATTGATGTAGAATCCATTTTCTTTCCTTGCGAATCCTTCCTATATCATGTAAATGTTTAATAACTGTTGTACGATAAACATTTAATGCTCTGGCAAGTTTTGAAGTGCTGGATTTTCGTCCAATAATACTTGCAAATCTGCATTTTCCATCTTTTTTGGTTGTCCTGAACAATTTATCCCGAACTTTATCGTTAATATTGAAATCACCACTTTTGAATCGCTTGAACCAATATCTTATTATGTCTTAATTAATTAAATAGGGCAACGTCACCGTAAGTTTCTATCAGAATTCTATAATCTTCAGTCACCGTTTTTCTTCTGATTAAAGAACAAAAGCACGTCGAAAATGTTCTTCAGGAAGCTCCATTTTTAAGATGACATAAACACAATGTTTACTGCATCTATTGTTAGTCTTAGTCTTTGTCTTCAATGAATGGCACACGACCAGAATTAGGTCATTATGGCCAGTAACGAAAATGCCGCACAAGACGGTGAGTAACGCAAAATCTTAAAGAATGACGCAATAACCCGCGAAAATGGCGAGAACCGCCCGAACACCGGGCGCCTGCGACCACGACGTCGTCACGCCGCTAATACGCGCGTCAGGACGAACGAACGGGACATCCAAAATCGCGGGATCGCTAGGCGGATTTAGAGTAATCGCAAAGCATAGTCAAAGTCGGCCACATTTTCCAAAAATATAACGGAAACAAGCACCCGACAAAGACGCGTCCATTGATACCCTTATTTCGCGGAAAGAAACGGCTCGAACTTTCACATTGCGCGCAGCGCGCTACGTAACCGGATCGACATATAAATCGTTATTACTTTACAACTATAATATTTAAAGAGCTAAAACTTTCCAAAAATCTTCCTTAACTAATAAACAAAATTGTAATACCGGTAAAAGTTGACAAATCGAAAATTCGTATGATAACTTTTGTGATCGAATGAATGAAACTACGAATGCGAGAGGAATATTTTGAAAAATTCGGCATTTGGCTGTGAAATGTTTCGAAAACTTCTTATATGCTCTGTATTTCGAGAAACATATTGAAGTTTATCCTGTTAAAATTACAAAGAAAAATATTCATATTTGGAGATATGGCGAGTTGAACACAAAAATCTATTGAAATTTTTTATTTAAAAAATTACTTTTTTTGTTTATAACTTGAAAACAAAAAAAGTTACAAATTTGATTTACAGACAATGCAAAAAAGATGCGTTATGAAATTTTCTATAAGAATCAGTCGTCAAAATTGAAATTAGAGCGATGTCCAAAATTAACCCTGCAGACAATATTTATCCCGCAAAATCCACACATATCCCCTTATAGAATCCAGACCCTCAATTTACTGCATCTCCTCTTCCCGAACGAATCTCTTTTGCGAACCGCATAATTTCGGCGAATTCCGCGCAAAAGTTAGGTAGTTACAATATCTTATTTTAATATAATTTTTTGGACATACGAACGATTATGGAGAGAACTGCGAGAAAATATTCCTCGCTATGGTACGCGACTATCACTTTATCCACTATAACGCAGAATTCATATTTAAAAAAATGTATAATTATGATGAATGAATTGATAAATTTAATATTATGAGTACAATATATCCACTAGACAATGTAAATATCAATAAAAAATTTTTATTCATACGTGCTGAAACTATTCTTTATTTTAAAATTTAAGACATAACTATCATTCCATTTCCCCTTTTGCTTCAGAGGCGCACGATTTCCGCGCGAAGCGATTTCCACCCCATCTCCTCTCTCTGCTTCAGAGGCGCACGACTTCCGCACAAAACAACTTCGACCCCACTTCTCCTCTGCTTTAAGGGCACACGAAATCTATGATTGTACTGTTGCATAAAGTCATAACCCGCATACAACAATACAATTATGTAGAATTCACACTGCGTACGACATACGATGATACGATATCCAATAGGAGAGAGCTTTTTTTCTAGATCTCCTATTAGATATTGTACCGTTATACGTCGGATGTCGTACGCAGTGTGAAACCAACATTATGGAAATCGTGCGTTTCTTAAGCAGGGGGAGGAGGAGTGAGAATCGCTTCGCATGGAAAGTCGAAACCCACGTGCAACAGTATGTATAATTATAGAAGTCGAGTGTCCCTTAAGGAAATCCTAAAGTAAAGCTCGAACTCTAACGAAATCGCCTGATGTGTGTGTGAAATATGTGTTGATCGAAATATTTATATTTAAATATAACTTTTATTTATATATATATATATATATATATATATATGTTTTCTTATTTTTACTGTATAACGTTACAATTTAAAATAAATAATAGTATAGTTTAAAAAAAAAAACCGCTTTTTTAAAATTGCTGGATAAAGGCCGAAAAAATTTGAAAAAAACCGAAAAATTGTTTTTTTTTTTAATTGCTATTTTGCTATCTCTAAATGACATACTATTTCATTTTTAATGTCCTTCATCAAATTAATGTGATTCAGAAAATTATGTAATCATATTTTTATTGAAATTTTTAGTTTTCCTTCTATTTTTATAGTAAAATCTAATCTAACCTTCCACTAGCTAGTGCATAGTAAAGGGGGTACAGTGGAGTAATTTCGATAAATTAACAGAAATTGTATATAAAGATTGGAATTGTATAGTGTATTCAATCAAACATACAGAAGATACACTATTGGTGCAATATAAAACTATGGCTGCGTTTAGCAGCTTTGCAACTGCGTTGTAAGATTTTTTAATTATTAATGATCGGTTTTGCTTTTAGTTCTTTCCCTTATTAAATCTAAATGTATAAACCAATTATGTTTAAGAATTTTACAATAATTGCAAAGCTGCTTTTTCTGCTGAACGTAACTTATGTTTTGTGTGTTTTATATATTTAATAGAATACGTTATACGACCTCAACCTTTAATATCATTTCACACACACACACACACCCACACCCACACACACACAAAATAATTTCGGTTAACTTATCCAAATTACCCCTTTTACGGCTGTACCCTATGGTACAGATAATTTACGAACACGCGTGAATTTTTCCAATTAATTTTTATACCTTTGGAAAGTAAACCGAAAAAAACCGCGGAAAAATTGGAAAAATTCGGTTTTCTTCCGATCCTTTAAAGCTATTTAAAAAAAATAATAGTAGAGTAAACAGGAGTCCTAATAATGTGATTAAAAAGTGCATTGTTTTACTTGATTAATATAAATTATATAATTTATTGTTATTCATGCTGATTATAAATAAGTGCTGTTAGTTTGCGTCATAATATATATATGAATAAAAAGTTAATAGTATTGTTAAAGGTTTGTCTTGAAAAGATATTACAATACACAGAAACACACAATACACATGAAAATCTTTGTAGAATATATCTGTTGTACAATTCACAGGAGATTACACTGGATAATAGAGTAGGATATAGTTTACTTATAGAGAGAATAAAAAGAAAGAGAGACAATATAAGTTGTAATGGAAGCAAAGTAAACTACCGAATCACACCGCTTTTCGAAATATTTGTTTTGTTTACATGTTGCATTCCAATATTAGCGGAACTTACAGTTTTCCTCGTCCGATAAATCATCAGGTCCACAATTATTAATGTTATTGCATCGTAGTGACTCATTGATGCAGTATTTATTTTTACTGCATAAAAACTGGTTCTCGCAATCTGTATTCGCACTCACTTCTGTCCACACAGCTCGAAAGCCTTTTTGCCCTACAGCTTTATCAGCTGAAATAAAACTGTAAATATAACGTGAATATTTATTAAAAGCATATTTCTCTTTGAAAGCCTTATTGTTTATATGAAGCATAACAAACCTGAGTCGCATATTATTATCTTCCGAAAGATAATCCCATTTAGTTTTAGGATCTTTAACACCACAAAGTTCGCGAGGAATAGAAGAATACCACATGCGTAATACGGCTGCGGGACACCCTCGTGCTGAAAATAATTTTTCAGTAAAATTATCAAAACGTTAATAGTTTGTATATTACAGTTTAAATACCAAAAATATTATGTATATACTAAAATAAAAATAATAATACAAACATTAATATGCAAATTAATAGGTAGAAGTTATGTAAGAGAAATTGTGTTAGTATTGTAATCTCATAATAAATCCATATATTACCTTCTGGATCACCTTCTATGGAGAAGACCTCAAAGTTCAAGAGTATTCGCTGATTCGGTCGCACTCTTATAAACCAGTTGCAACTTTTACTAGCTAAGTTTTTTGCCGACCCATTGTAGTTTTTTGGATAATTTGGACTAGTTATTATACCGTAATTTAGACTACTAATATTTGATCCACAATCTATAGCATAATAATTCGAAAAAATTAATATCACAAATAACCAGAGCTTAATTACCTAAAATTAACATTATAATTCCAAAAAAATTTTTTTGAATTATTATGTTAATTTTACAATGTTTTTTCGTTTGTAAGAAGAAACATTCATAAAGAAATAAAAAACATTTTTAATTGTAGAATAAATATGTATTATATTTTCCAATTTAAAATAAATACCATTTTTCCATTTAAACCATGAAATTTTTAACTTAAAAATTACATATAAAAGATTATAAATTTATTTTTTCCTTTTTTTTACTTTTATAAAGAAACAATAATTGTATGCATATAAGCGTACCTCCAAAAATAGGTTTAGCGATCTCAAAAGTGTAACGCGCTTTGAAGCCACTGTAGACAAGCTCAGAATCGGAATGTAAGATCACTTTTAAGCCAAGAGCACCGAGATTTGATTCTACTGGGCCCGGTGCAGTCTGGCCGCAATACCTTCCTATTAATTTCTCTGTATCATCCCGATACATATTGTAAATCTCCAGCCAATCTTCTTGGCAGAGCTCATATCTGGTAAATAAACAGAATCGATTTTAGTTAATATATTGTAATGCGCTTTAACATACAGTGTTCTATAATTGTTAAAACAACGCTTATGAATAAATAGAATGGACTAAATTGTATGAGTCAAACAGTCTTCTAACATTTTGCAATTTTAGCAATAGGATGAAATATAAAAACTCTAGCCAAATATGGGGGGAGAAAGTCAAAATCTCTTCCCGATAACTAATTTGGCTAAAGTTTGGCGCACTTTTTGTCACTAAAGAGACTTAGTTTCCCAAATTTTAAATATCCAGTACTCTTCCTGTCGTCCATAATCTTCGAAAAAGTGTTTTTTAATATATCATTGATGACAAATGTACAAGTACCTAAGATCCAACTAGACCATTTAAGGCTTTGTTTCTTATTGGTTGTATTTCTCATGGGCCTTCTACAATAGCCATTACTTAAGTTTTAAGTGTTAAATCATAAGAAATTTACCAATCACAATCGAATGTGAGAAGAATAATCAACTGTGAGTGATCAATTTCTTATGTTCTTAATTACTTAATACTTAAAACTTAGGTAATGGCTTATTGTAGAAGGCCTATTATATGTACGTTCTACGACATTTAATAATTAATATTGTTTATTTATGTCGTTTGAAATAGACATTACTCCTAATATTACTAAGGCCTCTGTCTAATGGGCCTTCTACAATAAACCATAAGTCATAAATCGGAAGTAAGAAACTAAAAATTGACGACTGTGATTGATCCATTTCTAGCTTATGACTTATGATTTGTGACTTACGGCTTATTGTAGAAGGCCCATAAAGGTTTAGGACGCTCGCACGGAATGCAAGAAGTCCGGATTCGATTCCCAACTGAGGTAACGGCCCGTATTCAGAATACGCTTACATGTTAGCACTCTAACATGCTATAGTTTACGTTACACGTTTGTATACTATAGAATTTCAGAGCTAAAAGCGCGCTTTTAAAAACAATAAAAACGCGTTCTGAATACGGACCAGTATCTTTCGCAATAAGACTTAATTATTTACAGGTTTTAAAATGTCGTTCAACATTATTAAGATTGATCTAAGATGTGTAATAAGTATATAAAATTGTTAGTCAATTTAACTTGTGATATTACTGCTGTAGTTTAGAGAATAAATTATCAAAGAAATTTTGATTTTTAATTGTAATTTGACTCTTACTTCGCCCTTTTTAATGTTATTGATTAAATATAATAAACATTTACAATTCAAATCAATCCAGTTCTTAATACAGTTTTTATTTGCTATCTATAATCTCAAATCGAAATAGCTTTTTAATTTAAAAATTATTCGATCCATAACACAAAATCCATATGTTACAAGTAGAGAGTGTATCATATAAAAAGAATAAAATTTATTAGAAAAAAACTTTCCTTTATAATTCAATCTATTGTAAATGTATAAAAACAAATGTCTTAACTAACTGACTTATTATCTACGCCTAACTCAAACTTAAACTAAAACTAAAATTTTGACACGTATGTTTGAAGGTTTATGCTTCGGTCTTAAGGTCTTAATCCTAAAATTCAGCCATAGAGTTCAAATTTTAGTTAGAGCTGGCAGCTTTATTGGTTAAATTTTAGGATCTTGGGATTAAGACCTGAAGCATAAACGTCACTTGACTAGACTTGATATCGAAAAGTATTAACAATTTCTATATTTTTATTCGTAGAATTTTTGTAGCATTTTATTGCACAACTCGGTATTTTTATGTCTACAACTCAAAGGTTATAATCAGTTATGACCGTTATGACTTCATCAATCATGTCCCAATAAACATGTAATTTGATATTTGCTGGAAGTTAATCTCTTCTTAATAGACTAATAATAATTTTAATCATAATTTCAATTGGGAAAATGTCAAAATCTTAGATAACGAACCTTTCTACATAAAAGATTGGTTTCAGAAATATGGTTTCGTCCATAAAACAACAATACGATTTAAACAAGCAAAGTTTGCATTTTGCAGTGAATCGGCCGAATACGCATTTCTTTAGAAATTAATATCTTATTCACTATTGCGACAACTGTAAAATTGCGATAGAGGATTTTTCAACTCATTGAGAACTTAGTCACTACATACTTATAAGCGTTGTGTCAATGATTACAAAACACCTTATATAAGTTACAGGAAATTGTGATTTACTTACCCATAACGTCCGACTGTTACATTATTTTTTGCACGAACTTTAAAGTGATCGAAAATCAAAGCAACCTGTTCATTTGGCGTCGCTAAAAAGAAATATGTGCAATTCGTGTCGCTCGGATAATTGCTAGGATATCGTGGTGAATTAAATTCGCCACGTTTACGAGAAGAACTTCGGTAAGTAAAAGTGCAACTGCCATCGGGTGCTGCGGTGCCCGGTATTTTATATTCCGTTTCAAAAATGTATCTATCAATCAAAGTTAAATTAAATTTAAAATAATAATTAAAAATGTATTAGAAATTGAGCATAATAAGAATAATTAATTGAGAATAACATTGAATAATTAATAACTTCTTAACTTATGATAGATTGATAAACTGCACTAGTGAGCACTGAGTGCGAACTTTTTCGGTGCCACACATTCAGATTACGTGCACTGTATCAGTGCGCTCAGATTTTACATATATGGCAAATGAAAATTATCCAGTGTAGTACTGAATTTATATTCGGAGCAACTATAATAAATAAACTGAATGAGTTTAACAAATGTTGCACTGACGTTTCTAACAGAGCAACAGTGCAATATACCACCAAGTTTTTGCATTCGCAGTGTCATGTCTAGTTCACACTAGGCGCGATGAGCGATGCGCGACGAGCGATAACCAATAATAACTCTGCTTTACATCGTCGTGTGAGCTAAAGCAAAGCTTTTATTGGATATCGCTCGTCGTTCATCGCCCATCGCATCCAGTGTGAACTAGGCATCAGAGCAAACCATTGACCGAGTCAATGTAAGGATCATGGTGGAAATATACAAGGTGAACCATTGCGCATAATGGCAGAGACCCGAGATCTCAACCAATCAAAGATTAGGCAATTCGTCCGGCGCGAGTTACGAAGCTCATAAAGTAAAATAAACATGAAGAAAAAATATATCTATAAATAACATTATATTTCCTGAATTATCTTCCTTTTCTTATGCATTTGAGGAAAAAAGGTTTACATATAAGGAAACTTGTAAAGATCTTGTTCTATTCCTGATTGGTCACCACATGCGTTTGCCGCTGCTTACCGCATACATGGAGTTTTAGCTTAGAAAAAAGAGTTACCTCTCTATGTATATTCTTTGCTTATGCATGGCTGCCTTGTACCTTTTTTGATTTATGTTCCGTTCATTATAAGTATAGTTGTAGTTTTTTTTATAAGAGCATTGTGCATAGTCACAATAAAAGTATTATTAGACTGACTTGCCTACTCATTTAATGTGCCTTTACAAGCACCGCTTCAAATGAAGCTGAATATATTATAAAACTTTAATAATTCGAAATATACCTATTTTTGTAGGGTAGAACAGATGATACTTTTGTTGTAATGCATATTAAAATAAAATATTATCTTACAACATAAATTATTAAATCTTTAAACTAAAATATTTGTTATTTCTCTCTAAAAATACTAATATTCTTTTTTTTCTATAAAATCTTGAACATTATGCATATATTTTTGTGTCTTATGACTATTGTTGTAAGTACAAAGAAGCAATAATTTTACTATCTACTGTAATAATTTAAAAAATAATAGGTTACAAAAATTTTTAAATAACACAACTAGTAAAATTTAATTATTATAAATTAATAATTGAAGAAATAAAGGACTCTTTTTATAAACAATAATTAATACGTTGAGAATGGCGAATAAGAGTCAATCTAAATCTGATAATGTATTCTAATATTCTATATTATTATAAATTATTATAAATAAGTATAAAAGGAAAAACAAATGATATTTACAATATATTGGCCTTATTTAGAAAACAATTAAGAATAATTTAAGTATATTATAATATGTTAAATTATTATTTTTACTGAAGTAAATTGTTATCTTTTTCCTAAAATTAATAGTTATACATTTCAATCAAAAGTTAGAAATCAAAAGTTATTTTAATTACTTGTTGAAAAATAGTACGATGGAATTGTAAAAAAAAACCATTAAATAAAACTGAATTTTTTTTATTAAAAAGAGATTTGTCTTAAATAATACTACCAATATATACGTATGTACTCACTTAGCTTTAAAGCCCTGTGCCTGTAATTCTCCGCTACTGAACACCATCACGAGCCGAGGCCCGTCGCTGACTACATGACTCGGATTGCTATTATTACCACACATCTCATAATCAAATTTGTCATAAGAATCCGTTGCTTCTTGACCTTTTAAGTATAATTTTAGATAGCCGTCGGTACATGTCCTAAAAAAAAGCCCAAAAAGGAATGCAGTGCAAAATGACATTTACGCTTTATCATACTGGCATTTAGTATTATAAATATACTTATTTAATACTTACTCTCCCTTGGGTGTCTGTATTGTAAATACTTGAAATTCCAACCGCACGCGTTCTAGATGTTGCGAGTCTTGCATGCCATAAATGAAATAACGACAGACGACCTTAGGTAAGTAAGGATATGGAAAATTTGGACTAACTACGAATCCTGATGTTTCCTTCTTACTAAGGATTTTTTGGTCACATTCAGATCCACGGATATGTTCGCCTTGATATTCTGTTATGAAATCTACGAATAAAAAAAATGATAGTATCGATTAATACTTTACAATTGTAAAGTTTCATAAATAACAAACAGGTATCATAATTAATCTCACCCAGGCTGACAAAACTTTCTGAGAACTCAAAAATTCCTTTAAATCCTCGATTTTGCGTATTAGCCGTGCGTTTCAATGTGGAAAATAGCACGAATAAACTGTTCTCTGAGGAATATAACACTAAATTTCGTTGCTGGCCGCAGTACGTGCCTATAACGGCGGTCGAATTGTCGGGACCATCATACACTTTAACGTAATCTAGCGGGCAACTATAGAATAATTTTCTCATAGAATAACTGTAGAATAACTTTCTCACATTAACTATATCATTTTTTACATACATATTAGTATGTACCTAGTATAAATATACACTACTCAACAAAAAATAAGGAACACTTTTAAACACGCTAAAAATTTGGTAATATTCAGAATACCGTAACTCAGTGAGAAATTATCGCAGATAAAAAATTAAAAAAATTTTTTAAAGATTAAAATCTCTACTTACAAAATCTGTACTTAAAATTTCAATATGACTGATCCTTTATGAAGTTATACGGACAAATGAATATCAGTCAAATCTGAAAATTTTGCACAATCTTTGCAAAATGTAAAGTAAATGTTTTTAGTAAACGTTGTACGATTTTTTTTAATGACAGATTTCGTAAGTAGAGATTTCGACCTTTAAAATGCTTTTTTAATGTTTCGTCTGCAATGATTTCTAACCGAATTACGGTTTTAAAAATTGCCCAATCTTTAGCATGTTTAAAAGTGTTCCTTATTTTTTGATGAATAGTGTATACATACGCAGAATGTTTGGAAACTCAACTGACAAACTTTAAAAGATTATCAGAGGCACCAAAAGGATCATCTTTTGCAAATGGACCTTGGCGACACCACCTCAAACTTATAAGGTCAGTAAATAGATCTTTTTACACCCTAAAACTTTTGTCAGTAAAACAATCTTTATAACTTATATTTTTGAGACATTTCGACCTTTTTCGAACACTATCTGCTGTAACGATGTAACGACACGCACTTTCGACCCTAGATCCATTTGCAAAAAATGATCCCTTTAGTACCCCCAACAATCTTTGAAAGTTTGAAAGGTTGAATTTCCGAACATCCTGTATATAATTCTAATATAAACATACACAGATGTAATACATATCTTTTATTTTAAGAATGCATTAATTAATTACTAATATAGAGAAACAGAACAACGGGCCAATAAATTAAGTTAAAAATCTTGATAAACCTTGACAAACAGGGACCATCTTCCGATGACCTTGACCTTGACATATGTTATCAAGATCATGACCCTGAGTGACCTCCAACAAGTTTTAGCAGTCGCTCGTCCTTCGTTAAAAAGTTATTAACAATCATAGTTTTAAAATAAACGTTTTATTTCTGCTATACACGTATGATATACTATTCTACACCTTTCCCTGTTCAGAAACGTTAAACTTTCCACGCGAAGTTACTTTCACTCCCTTCCCCCCCTGTCAAGGGGCATACGACTTCCATGATTGTACTGTTGGGGGGACCTCTATCGACGGGGCGGATGTGGGAGGAGGACGGGCAGTAGGTCCGCCCCCTTGCACCCCCCTCCCGTGTGTGTGTGTGTGTCTCAAATAATGTCTTATTTTGTGACACACACACGCACACGCGCGCGCACGCACGCACGCACGCACGCACGCACACACACACACACGCACACGCGCACACACGCGCGCGCACACACGCGCGCGCACACACGCACGCACGCACGCAC